GATAACAATGCAAACAATACAGTTTACTAAATATTTTTTACATTTTAAACTACCTAGTTATTGATTACTTTAATTTGTATCAAGTATTTTTGTGGAAAAATATAAAATGTTTTCACAAAACACTATAAATAGTAAATCGTTCAACTATGGCACGTAACTAGAATATACACTATTCATTAAATCAGTTTCGTAGAAATAAAATGATGGATTTTCGTTTCGCAGATCCTGATAAAGTCTTATACAAGTGGTATAATATTATTATATTTTAAACTTATTTTCGGTTAGAAATATACGTTTTGTTCACGAAATACTGTTAACCTATAAATACGAAAAATACACATATACCTAGGTATTATAATATATAGTATGCACTCTTAGTACAGTTAGTTTTTTTCGTTTTCCATCAATTTCCGTTTTTTCTGGTTGTCTTAATTTTCCGGTTGCTGTTTTTCTTTACATGTATACATTCAGCGTACATTCGATTATATTTCTGTTTGTTCAATTGCAAACTAACAATATATATATTCCATATAATATATTGTATAGTACCATCGAAGAACTGTAATGAAGCTTTTAAATCTTACAGCGACTTCGGTAAACGTACACTATTGGTAAAATTGAATTTTCGTTGACTACTGAGAATATGGATAACATTGATCATAATAAAATATCTCAAATGTTTTGCGCGTAAATAACGTTTTTTCATTAAACTATACGTCACACATAACTTGCTATGCTTAATCATGCACGCGCGGTCGAAGTAAAACTACTTAGTATTTTTTTAGTGATATCTGTGCTTTTCTAAAAATAAAGAATCTCGCAACAAAGACTTATATGAACTGATAGGATTTTACTGATAATTATTTCTTATACACATAATATTATAACATATTACATAATTATTAAATATTTAAATATCTAAATAGATAATAATACTAAAAATAATAGTAATAATATATGGCTATGTATGTATGTATATTATTATTATATATGTATATAAATTGAATTCACTTACAGTATATATGAAAACAACTCTGTCTCACTATTCAAGTTATAGACAAATTATCAAATAGTAAATATCTAGGTATCTAAATAGATAATAATAGTAAAAATATAAATATCCATAGCAATCAAATGGAATACGCTTAGAGTGACTATTTCGAGAAAAATAAAATAATTTTTCCTATTTGGTTGGTACCACCGACAATTTCGTGTCGTGAGCATAATTTCATCACACATTTTTCGGCGTTGTAGTGTTGTACCTTCCGTAAAGAAGTTTTACTTCAAAAATAAGAATATTATACAGTATACGGTGGAATATATTAATGACAATGATATAACGTTTAAAGTTGCATGAATAGTCTGTTATTTCATAACTATACGATTAGGTACATCCTAAGGAAATGGATTCCATAAAAATGTACTTTTTACATACAATTACATAATGAAGCAGATTCGTATAGATTTAAAATTGTAAGCTCAAAAGGAACACTTATATTATAGAAGGTATGTATGGTATTATATATTGTCGAAACTAAGTATGTTTTGTTCTTAAAAAAAGATAACCGTGACTCTCGGTATATAAACGTTCAATTGAGTGCCAATTAGTGAACACTGTTTCTTTTTAGATTGTACGTTTTGCTGGGTAGAGTAAAACGATTATATTATACTTTTATAATATGTTTGTATAAAAAAAATCACGTGTTCGACTGTTGTTTCTCAAACTCTGTCGTACATCGTTACAAAAATGTATAACGCGGTGTCGTCGTTAGTTTTTTATTCGGTTGTTTACTTAATTAAAATAAAAATGAATATTAATGGAAAAACATGTACATTTTAATTACGGTTCCAAGGGTATTTAAAAATAAAAAATACACTTTGATGTTGTCCTGTCTCTTGCAGGAGGACACTGTGAAAAGGGATTTGTTGCACTTGTATTTAAATGGGTTTAACAGACGCTTGAATTTACAATTACGTATACTGTTTAGAGTCCGCATGCGGTTCAAAGCGTTATCAGAACGAGATGTAAAATTGTATGTCGACTCCCTAATTTTAATTTCTTTTTTCCCGCATTATTACCGAAGGCTTATAATGAAAACCCTAGCAACCTTTGAAATTTTTTCTGTCAATGCCCACTTCGTTTTTTCCGCATTATGTATCGTGTATAATATTCTTTTGTTTCAATAAATACCAGCTCATAAAATATACATATACTATATACACACACATATATATACATACATATATATATATTATATAAGAACTTTAAATACCTCATAATAATAGCTGGCAAGAATTTATTACAACGTTAAATAATTTTTACGATATCCCGCCTCGCTATTTCGGTCGTACATTTCAATCTTCCAGCCGCCATCAGACATTCAGACTAATTTAATAGAAGATTTTTTTCTCTGAATTATTTTTTATCATTTTAAACGATGACCTGTAAAACATCAACGTCTGTCAAGCGTAGTAATGTGCCTTTTACGAGTGTAAAAGTTGTTATGTAGGTGCAGGCAGTGGATTATGGCATAGTTGTACCCACAACCCACATGCTGTAACAATATCACAGTTTACCTTGCAAGTGTATACAATTTTTATAATGTGACATAATGTTGAAAACTTCGGCCTACGAATATTATAAAATTATTTTTTTTTTTATAGTACGGCTTGTATTAAACCCTAACAACATAGAATATTAGTAAATAATATAATAAAAGATATAAATTGATACAATATAAAATATAGATATGTGGCTTGGTGTATAGCTGTGTTTTGATTCAGTTACAAACGTCTTCTGAGCCAGCACCGGCCGGTGTCACTAGTTACCAGATGGGTGACCAGCGGAGTTCTTAGTGACAAAGCCTCTCCCACAGTAAAAACCAGCTAATTAATACACAGTCGATGCCATAAAAAATATATAGATATATAAACTGATAAGATTAAATGCATAAATAACATGGTTGATTAATGATAAGGGAAGATTTGATTGTATTTGCATTAACCTAAATTCTGATGTCCAGATTAGTTAAAAAATGTATTTGTTGCCGCTACTTTGACCTTATGGAGGTGTTTCATACCGTATTGTATGTTGCATACTAGACATTATTCCAAATTGTCAATGGCTGTCTGTATATCATGTCCACAGTCGCATTGTGGTGTATCTCCAAGTCTTCACTTTTTCCCTATATTTCTGTGAACAGTCTTAAGTTTATTTAGGGTCACCCGTCCGAGATAGTTCCCATCAATGGGGCCGGTATTCTTTTCTGTTGTTTGTTCAACAACGTAATTTTTTTCAAGATACTTAGGCTCCATTCATCAGTCCATTTGGAGTTAAGGTGAAAGCTTTCCTTTATTAATTTTTGTGCTAGCTCCTAAGGGGGATTACGAGATTGTAATCTTTGGCTAGGATTATTATCATATATTTGTGTATGGGTAGACTTATATTTAAGTATAAAATAATAATAATTGTAATTTGTAAATAGGAAAAAATAAAACTATTTTTGGAGATAAAATGTGTCAGGATGGCTAAGAATCTTGTCGGTGTCATTATTATATAATCAATTAAAGTAGGTAAGTTTTGTGATGATGAATTTAACATATTATAGGTAGCTGAAATTTGCATAAAACTCCTTTTAGACGATATGTTGGTCACAAGTGTATGCATTAAAATATATTATAATTAGTTTTTCGACGTTGGCTTTTTGGACTCAAAATTTGATGTTGACTTAAGATAGTAAGTTAAGAATATCCAGTCGTATCCAAAAATCGAAATCTTAAGAGTGCGGTACTTATGATTTCAACTCCAAAAAGGTTGATGGACAAAAACCACACACATTATTAGCTCAAATACCACATACTATTTTTAATCTACAGACTAAAATAATCTAAACTTAGAACACTTTTTCCAAGTTGACCGAAAAGATTGATAAAATGAATTTGTGATATTTTTACCACCCTAAAGAAAAAAACCTACTTCTGTTTACAAGTAGGACGATATTTTTAGTATATATAACAAATTATATAAAAAAAAATATAGAATTATAATGTAATTACTCAATTAATATGATGACTACTATAAATTAGCAATTTATTTTATATCTTTTCTCTAAATAAAATTATATTATCTTTTACATTAAAAAAAAAATATAATATACAATCTTAAGTAATTATAATATTTTCGGATTTTTGGATACAACAACCTTAAAGAAGTATTTGGTTTTATAGTTTATACTACTTCAAGGATGTGGTTTTGTTTTATATTTTTTCTTAAGTATGTGGTTTTTAGATTCAGTAGAATATAATAATATATCCATCACCGACAAACTATTATTGCGTTATGATCGACCTTTGACGGCCGACGTTTAAAAACTGTACGATATTAGTTTATATTTATTTTATATAGGTACGTTTGAATGAAATCTTTTTTAAATTGTTATTTATTAATTATCATCTGCCGTGGTTGGTCAACTCTAGTACATAGTATACTAGTATATACCATAACTAAAATTAGAAATTTGGTCCAATGAATCGAAATAGGTATATTTTATATAAAGGGACACTTGAAAATACAATCTTATTCGTTGTGAGTTAGATCCATTTACATTTCAAAATTATTTTTGATCTAATACGCTAAGTCGATAACGATTTTCTTTTTGATAATATTACTATCGACATCAAAGTATACTCTATACACATTTATAGCTGTTGTGTAGACAAATGAATTGGATTTTTCATATTATGTAGAACCTATTTTGGTATAACATACGCACGTGTATAATAATAATAAATGCAGCAACAACGAAGTTTATTTATTTTTTATTTTGTACCTCGCACTGTTTCACATTCCGAATATGCACATATTTGTTTTGTTATTGTTTTGCGATTTTTTTCCTCAATACTCATTAAATGACCGAGTCTTTTTGACTTTTGCACACCAAACCGTGTTTTTGAGACAGACTTATATATATTTTTGTGTCTGTTTCACGATTTTTTTTCAGACGTAAACCTAGTGGCCGAACCGAAACCGCATCAGACCGGTAGGAAAAGGCAAAACTTATCGAAAACTGGAAACGATTGGTAAGTAAAGTAATTTGTTTTTTGTCCGTTTTATTATTATTATATTCCTCTATAATATATTTTCGTCCTCATCCATTTCCTTCTCATCCGTCAATCCACGCGGTGCCATGATGTTATATATTTATATATTATGTTATTATTACGACCGTTATATACCTAACCCGCTCACAATATATTATTACATAGACCGCGAGGTGGTTTCCGTCGACAATAGTGTTTCCCTAACCCAATCACGGGCCATATAAATTTCTCGCGTGCGCTCCTCGCCCTCGTTGTACCCACTGAACAACAATAACAAAAGTTGGCCAATTTTTCTACGATATTTTATTAGTACCCTCGTTCTCGGCGGAGTTATACCCTAGATATAATAGCTTATCGACCTACGCACACACACACACACACACACACACACACACACACATACACACACATATGTACCTGCTTCAAATTCGACGTCGTAATAAACCCGGCGAAATATTATACCGGATATCCGACGTATCGAAACGCGAGGGTTCTGTCCGCTGGGACCGCTGCGATCCGTGATCCACATTATAAATCGGAGACCAACAGCAATCTTCGCGGGACCTCGCCGGCGTACCCAGTCCAACGCAATAATAATATAATTTGATCATTCTTTTCATTTGTTTCGCGCACACAGACTCATATAAGTCTGCAAACGATCAGCAAACATCAATGAGGCGTGTAACGTAGGTACGCATATACGTAAAAGTATAATATTATGTATGTTTGGCGATGGTGATATGTGACTTAGAAGGTATACACTACATAACCTACATATAGAAAGGTAATGGAAAAATATGCATCACGATATTAAAATATTATGTCTTTACACCGACTCGGAACAAATGCACGCTGTTTGCATCGTGACGTAGGCTGGTGATGGGTATTCGCGAAAAACTTAATGATATATTAGGGAATCAGAATGTCTTGGTATGGAGGAATTTGTATTCATATAAATGCGGATCGCGAGGAGATGGAGGGGGCCTTCAAAAGAGTAAGACAGTAAATGCCAAATTCGAACAATTTAATTATTTGATATACTTCTTATTAAATAAACCAAATAACGAGTCTCTTTTATTGAGAAAAAACTTAGTGTGTAAATGCATGTTTACTTATAATAAATTAATGAATTGTTTCAAAATCTTTACAAACATTAATAGTTAATACTATACTACGTTGTTAGCTTATGTATACAATGCAGATTCCAGTTCATAAAGATCTTATAATTTTACAATATTTAAAATGGTAAGACTTTATTAAGGATATGTACACAGTACACATAATGCTTTAAAAAACTTACAACTTTTGGTTTTCTTGAATATTATGGATGTCCTATAATAGCATAAAATGTTTATGAGTTCGAACTTATAATATGTATGATTATTGTACCTATAACCTATTACATTTTCGAGTTTCTACACTTCTATAGTCAAAATTATTAAAATAAACGCTAAATTTTCAAAATGATGAGTTATAAGAATTAAAACTATTAATGGCAAAAGTCGACTCTATAATAAAAAAGGTGGTTATTTAACTATTTGAGTACTCCTCCAACCTTCTACTCGGAATAGTCGGAATTACAATAACAGATAAAACTAACTTGGAACTAAAAACACATTATTATTGTAAAATCAATACATTCCTTGGTAAGGATACTTCAGAAACTAAAATTCATATAAATAGTAAAATTATATCACAGTACATCGCAATTATTTAAAATAAATAATAAACACAATTATCAACTATTAACTTCAATCAATATAGCTATACTTTGAATATTAGATAATATTGTGTAGGTTCCTATATTTACCTGAAACTGGTAATTGGTAAAGGTCGCCAAATACTTAATTTTAAGTAAAAAACTCTTGTCCACGTTTTATAAGTTTTACATTTCATAATGTTTTATCATACAGCTATAAACTCATCAACAAAATATATTAAATATACGTATTATGGAGTTCCATTACCACAAAGAACAAACAATTTATTATTATTACTATTTTATTTTTTTGGTCCATCGCCGAATGTAGTTTTAATTAAATTTCATTCTGTATGTTCGATATAATGACAAAATACACTGCCACTAACGACGTGTCGCTAAATTTAGGGTTGAACTTGTTTAAACTTTTATCCTGTATTATTATTTATTTAGAACTAGCGAAAGAACATTTATGTCTGAATTAACTATAGGTATACAATATAATTTATACTCTATTTCCATGTAAATATCTCATGTGTCATTGTTTCTATACTCCTCCTTTTTTGATATTGCTTACCGAAATTACAATAATATAAAATTTCATTTTCCTCAGTTGAATTTGATTTCATATTTAAATTGCAACATGTATAATATTTTTACGACACATGTTATTGTGGGTACATCGTTTTTTAACGTACTCTTGTCAAGAATGTTCCAATAATAATACTTTTTTATACAGACAGGTTTAATTTATTTTTAATATACGCTCAACTTTATTTCAACCACTCGATTATGGTTGACCCTGAGAAAAATTATTATCTCTAGCAAACAATATACATACTTTGAAAACACATCCTTCTATAGTATATTTTTGTTATTGAAATATTATATTTAATGAAAATTTCATTTCTCGGGTCATCGTAGAAGCTGCTTGATGATATCGACGGCAAAAGTTATAATAGACTTTTCGTCCTTTGGAAATTGCCAGTGATAATAACTTTTCAGTGTAGCTAATCAATTCAATAACTATAGTTATTGAAACGTTTTAATGAAGAGTCTTTCTCTTTAAATATATATATTGTATTACAATATAATGTATTATATATCATAAACTCATGTGTTAAACTCATTAATTTATAATTTTAACAGATTGGGTAACTATTCATTTATTTAAATTATTTTTCTATAAGAAAATATTAAAAAAATGTATTGAACTTAAGATTATATATTAAGTTATGTTACAATAGAACTATTTATAATAACACATAATTTCAGAGTAAAATATCGTTATCGTAAGATTAGATTTTTGGAATTGTTCAATTTTATTACTTTAGCAACAATGAAAATTATTGTTGCAAATACCTTTTTCTAGACCCTCTCTCAAAATATTTCAAAATAATATTCGCATCGTGGTGTCGTAGAGCTGCAAAAAAACATGGCTTTTTTTGTACTCGTGATATTTGTACATAATTTGGCGGTCAGATAACTCCTTGTGGAAAAACCCCGTTCATTCGTTGATGACTGTGCAGTGTATTCAATTTCAGATAAAGTCCAAATTGTATTAAAAAAAAAATAAAGAGGGTTGGGTGTCATTACACGGGGTAATTACTACGCTGGTATTGTGTGGGTATATTGCGCGTTTTTAGCGAAGCAAAATTCCATAGGTAAATAATGTAGCAAAGATAAAACCAACCTCCAAAATGAAATTAAAAAAAAAACAGGATTTTTGAGGGCAACTGTGATTTCCCACGAGACCATGTGCCGGGGGATTTTTAATTCATTCATCGTCCTTCTTTTTTTGTTCTAGTCTGAAAGACTGGAACTCTAAAAAAAAAATCACCACACCGGCAACGGAAACCGAGGTGGATAACTGAATTTTATTCCAAGTGAGAATTTTCCGGAATATTATATTTTATTGCCGGTGTGCCGTAGTGGTGGTGGATTTAAATTTTAACTATGAGATAACATTAGAAGGTCGATGGAAATTATTAACAAATTCGTACTACCTAACCGTATTATTATTATTATATTATTTATCATTTATGTATAATGAATTAATAAGCAATACTGATCACTGCCTCCAAGCTCATATATCAATCGTTTTATAGATTTTTATTGTTTTTAAATCTATTTTAAGAAACTCTTATAAACTTATTTACGACTTTCTCATCAAAATTACTAGTTGTCATCAAAAGGTCATTTGCACAATGGTGAGCCAAACACATTAGTAAACTATCTATACATTCTATACTGAAGAAACGTATTATTAAAATACTGCAAATAACGAATAAATAAAGCCAAAGTTTCCTCGATGATTTTTTTAACAAATACTCAAGTGTATAGAAGTTTTAAAGAAAACCTCAATACCATCTCGATTTCTCGTTGGGTTTTCAAACTATATACATGTACACATAATATCATTTGATGATCTGTCAAACTTATACTCTTAAACTTTATACTCTTATACAATTTTTTTTTCCTAATTGTGTAATGTAAACAAAACATATATTTTAATGTTAACTTATTAAAATCACAAAACCCCAACTCTAATTGAATTTCCTTAAAAGATTTCAAATATTTACAATACAAATATTTCATTTAATTGTATGATATAATGTATTAAGTCAAGTTAAATTCTATGCGTCATTATTTATCAGAATATTTCAATGTTAAATACATAAATATAATCTTTTTTAACATTATTTATTGAAATTATTGAAATTTAAAAAATATAAATGTGTTATTAGTACACATTAATAATAAATATTAAGTTATTGTTATTTAATTATTCACATTTTCTCTCAAGCTGATTTTTATATTATTTTCGACACTAAAATCCTGGGGACACAATAAATTAAATTAAAATAAACTCATTTTATTACCTTAATAATATTCTAATATAGAACTATATAAGTCGTAACATAACTGAATAAAATTAAAATTTGAGAATTAAACGTATATATTTAACAAAAAAATATATAAATTGTAAGTAATAAATACATAAATATGATGCATACAAATGTTCTTTTTGAACTTCATAAAAGTATAATCTGTTTTTGTTAAATATTATTATTTTCATCTGATTCACCTTGTAAAAATTTAAGCCTGATGTTTTTTTTAGAAAATGTCTGCACTTTTGGTCCATATAATAATATAATATGCATTTTAAACTTATAAAAAATAAAGGAAGTTTATGTTCAATAATTAAAAAAAAAAATAATAATAACAAAAAAAAGTAATTAGTATCCGTTATCTTTAAACGTAATGTATATTTAATAAAAAATTACATTTTTTTAACCATAATATTTATTACGACAATCGAATTGGTTAACAGAATCAATTTGTATAAAAACAATAAGAATACCTAATAAATTGATAAAAATAATTAAACAATCATAATAGATGATACAAATGGATGTTAAACACAATGTTAAAATACTATGTGTTTTAATTGTGATGATTAATAATTGAATACAATACTAAACATTAACACTTAGCACTAACGAGTAGCAAATACAATGTTTGCTAATTATAAAAATATTTGATTGATAATTTAAAGTACTTGCTTAATTTATGTTTCTATAAATACATTGATTGTTGTTATTTATTTAAAATCAGAAATGGTGTGGTTGACCGCTGAGTATAGCTTTATTTAAATTTACCAAATGGTGAAATTATTTTTACGATGCACATTGGTCCCTCGGTGTGTGAAATACTTTTTTTATGATCGATATAATATTAATTTATTGTATTCACAATTATTTATTTCGTGTCATCACTATAATACAGAAATCTGGACGAACGTTAATCATTGAAGAACCATTACTTTTTTCTCAATTCTGCTAAATGGGGAATACACGCATTATAATATTTAATATATTATTGTACCTATAATTTTTGGTTTTTACTTCTTTCGCATCCTTTATTAGCTTTACAAATTCCCAAAGCTCACATTATTTCTATAACATCTGCGCTGAACCCAACCATACTATCCGTAGTCTGTACCTAACGCTCCAGCTATTTTATTATATGTCTACAATATTATAATGATGGTATAAAATTTTTTTTCTCTTCGTTATAATATTTCGTAATGTTTCTACAATAAAAAATTTACAATTACAATTTTCTATAAGAGTCTGTGTGTGACAATAACAATATCTTTAGAATTTTGAGGAAAACATAATATAATATATTATAATGTTCATCAAATACAAGTCTTGCAAACGTTTATACCATTCGAAATTATGTTAGATTCTTACCATTTCCTGTTTCTATTGATATTACCTATGTATTATATTATCAATTATGCTGATACACTGATGATTCTCTTCATCGCCATTTCACCACAGTCAAGACAATATAAGTTTCCTTTAATTTTCTCCGACTATTTTAATATTCCATTGTTTTTTTTCGTAACAAAGAAATTTCATTATCCAGCAATTCAAATATAAATATATTTTTTTCCGCCTTTGAATATTTTATGTATATTATTCCACACTCGCATATTTCCTTAATACTCTTTTATATCTACTGCGCAGCCTTTATCACACCCTAGTTTCATTTCATTCAAACTTATAAAAATTTTAAAAACCATTTCCCTTTATTCATAATTTATTCTTACCACGTTCGCCGTCGAATCGATTGCTCCCATCAATTACATCGTTTGAATTACGCGTTTGCTGTTATTGCGACTCTATGTGTTTCATAATATAATATAGCGATCAGGTATAAGCATTTAAAACGCCAGATTTCCTTGATTATAATATAATGTTCCTATATTACTATAAATTTTTTTTTCGTTGTTCACATAAGGTTTCCGAAGACATAATTGTTCGTCTCTCAAAGGAGCAAAAATGGGATATCGATGAAAAAAAAATGTCTGAGTTATTTTTATTAATCACGACAAAGAAATTTATAATACTTATAAAAAGAAAATTGCCTTACTTATGGTAGATGATATTATACATATATATTATATACGCACACCTTTGAAACGATAAACGACACTCGTTAATTTCTATTACATCCTTCAAGGCTCCCCGCCGGTGGCGGTACCAGGTGTGTACATACACAGACACCCCCACCCTTTAAAGACGAAGGGTTGTGTTCATTAAAACGGTGAGGAATATTTTGGCGCCTTATCTGCCCTAAGCAGGTCTATCCTTTCTTGTTGACAGAACTGCCGCTGCAACGACAACACCGAAACCTACTCACACCGTGCACTGCAGCCACGTCTGCGTATACATTTATATATATTCGTACAGTAAATACAGAAAATATACCGTTGAGACCTTATAATGTAATAACTTGAGAGTACGGGGGTTGTATAGGCGCGAGGCCGGGCTTGGACGAGGAGAATCATCGTTGGCGACAGGACGGCGTAGGGTTTTAGGAGTTGTGCACAGGTGGTTTTTGTTTACCCGTTCAAACATCACGAGTGCGGCCCATGCGAGCAACTTCGACACTCATCGACTGTCGCGTCTTAGTCGTCTTCAGAGACGGTGTTTTTTGTGACCGCAGAACCCACCCCCTTAAGATACATTCAAAACATAATATATATATATAGTATAATTGTCGTACCACTCGTCCACCGTCACAGCCTTACAGATAATTAACGCAAACATGCTTACGCAGAGAGTTTCGTCAAATATCACGTAATAACGCTTATTATAACAACACTAATAATAATAATAATAATAATAATACGACCCGAGTTGTCACCCTCGACCGTCTAAAATGTTCGATTTCGGTTTTGCGTTCTATGATCCTGCAGTTTGCTGCAAGGTCTCCATTTTTGGCACGTCGCACGCATAACCTAAGTAGAAAAGGTGTGGGAGAGTGAAGAGCAGATGTCTTAAATACGGTAGTATGACAAATGTATTACGCTGCACCCACTTTTCAATTTCAGACCCGAAGCGTGTCGGTACAACGTGCAATTTTGTCATGGTTTTTTTCATGGTCGTGGCCTCCATCGTACGCACTCTCGGGGGCCGGTCACGTACGCGATTCGCACTCTATATATACGTTGTGGTGAGACGTGCCGGGTGGCTCGTGGAAACTCCGGAATTCGCTAGACGATAAATATTTTTTTTAATGGAAAACTCGAAGCTTTTGCTCCGATATTGTCACCGCGTCTGATCCTTATATTATAGAAAAAAGAAAACCCTAAAACTGAGACCAGCTCTCCCGAAACCGGCGAAGTGGTTTGGTAATGAAAAGTGAGCTTTATTGGTGATAAGACAGCACATTTTTTTACAAAGCGATGACTTCGAAATGGGATCGAGAGAAAAATTCTGAGAGAAAAATACAATACGATCATACTTACATAATACAATACTTAGCAGGCTTAAGCTATAACTTATAAGTACAATGTATATAGCGTTAAACATTGTAATATTGTATTATATTATTAAACAAAAACAGTTACGTTGTCACAAATATCAAATTAAAGCATTCCATTATATCTACATATAGACTATAGTAATAATTACAACACTTAAATGTGTATGAAATTCTCCTTATGATTTATATTATTTTAAGTTATTCAAAGCACTTCGATGTTTTTATTATATGGTATTGGGTACCAGCGTTAAAATCGGTGCAAGCCGATATATTTTATTATTTTTTTCAACACCGATTTCCCTTATCAAAATAAAAATAATGCATCATTTATTTTCAGTGTATAAAATACATTTATTGTGACCATACATTTTGTACCATTTCTGTACTATAGTCAAACATCCGATATTCCTTTCTCGTATTAATAATATAATACGTCATGTCTAATACGTATGTAGGTACATTACATTTCTAATACCTAAAAAACTAATTATATGGATATTGCATCAAATTTAAGCGCATAATATTATAATTTAGGGTACTCGGAGTACCTATAATCCCCGATGGACTATCTTTTCCCACTGCTTAATTTACTGCGATTACGGTTATTCTCTCGAGTGTAGAGAGCTATTGTTTAAAATGTGTCATCCCCCCCCCCCCCATCATGTTTACTAACGTAGTTTAGCTCCTATATTATCATACATGATTCAAATTTGTCTCTTATACGATTAACATTGTATGTATATTGTTGTATTTTATATAATAACAATAATATAATGCACGCATATAATATAATATATTGTTCATGTAAACTGATAATATTTTGTTTTTATATTGTTGTTTTTTTTTGTTTCAGGGAATATTATTACAACAGGTAGGATATATAATTTTATATTACATTTCAAAAAAACTAAATTATAACTTCAGTGTGTATTGCCGTTTGAAAAAAATCGATTACCCCGTTGTGTCGGCTTTCCCCTAGCCAAACTACTGTTCGGATGATGAGATAAAATTGAAGTTTAAGTAAAAATAAAAAAGAAAGCGAAAGACCGAATATAAGTTTCAGTGAATTTAAATAGTAACTCTGTTACTGGGGTCGTTTTTTCGAAAACCCGTTTAAAATACTCCGGAGGCAACTTTTTATCACGACGAAAATAATAACTCCACGCACTCTTCTCGCACAACCAACTTTTTTCCTCTCATATTGCGTTTTGTCGCCCGAAGAAAATCAACTTTTGACGAGACTTGTTTGCTATTCAGGAAAATAAAAAGATTTTTGTACCATAATGAAGATCATAAATTGAAATCTAACATTTTAAGTAATAAAAAATTATTTCATTGTAATATTACATTGAAGGAGGACACCGGGGATAATGATAATAATAATAAACATTTTGCGAGAATTTTCGTTCGTAATATTAATGTATGCATGCATAAAAAAAAAATTTTTTTCCTCGTATTCTGATTTTTCAGAGATGTATTGCATCACTTTTAGTATGAACATCGGTATTTTCATTAAGGTTAATCAATGCCATACTATATATCTTTTAAAAATCAAATACATTTGCGATCTCCTCCAGTGTTATAGAAAATCGCTGTGTCAATCTCGACTATATACATAGTTCATCTCTTCATCATTCACCAGTTCACCTGCTGGGGCTACTATGCGTAATATTAGTATTAGGTTCAGCAGTAATATCGCTGTGATGCCACTGTAATGATATAAACGTCAATTTCGATGATAAAGCATACATCTGTAAGTTGGTTTATCGACAACGAAACGCCGAGGGGAAAAATGAGAGAAAAATAATAATAACAAATACTTTAGGTAATGTTGCGATGAAAAATTGGCAATAAGTCGTTTGATTGCTGTCACACAAGTGCAGTGTGTACATATCACCACAACCCGTACCGTGATGTTTAATAATGTATATTAGTATGTACGTGTATATATTATATATGTTGTATGTGTGTGTGTCGAGATGGGGTCGGTATGGCTGTCAGCATAAAAGTCGACCAAGAAAAACTTTTGAATATTTATGAGTTTCTCTCTTTCGTTCGATATGATGGATGACGACGAGGGTACTCGCGTCTGTGACATTATTCTAACCTCTAGTGGTATTATTATTATTATTATACGCTATGGTTACGACTTACAACTAAAGAACTGTGGTATGTGGAGAGTCGCATTAACAGATATTCGTCTGCAATTAGACTCGGAATTCGATTTCGCGGTGTCTTGGGCGTGAACAAAGCGAGGACAGTCCGGCACGCCATGTATGATGTTTTTAATTCGTTTTAGACGTACCTCCTACCTAATATCATAATATTTCGAAAATGTTTTCAATTCTAAACTTTCTAGTTTCTACAGCAGTGACGGCTGTACTACGCGTGAGCGTAGATATATACCACGCGGTAATATGCAGCGCAACCTGTGTGGTTGAGGGAAAGCGATCTAAGAACAATGCGGTCGTTAAGGGTGTGCAATGAACGCGGAAGTCTGTAAATATGCAAAAACGTGAATGAAACTGTACACGTTGAATTTTCATCAGCATTTCTCGCTTGCAAATCGTTGCTGCGGCGGAGGCGAGAACGCAAAGAGTGAATTATACGGGGCACGAGAACACAGCTATTTCGAGGCGCAACAGAAGAAATAAAAAATAAATAAATAAATAATAGAAATCTATTATTCAAAACAGACAACCCAAAAACGCTCTTTTCCGTTTGGAGTGCTGACGAGACATTATATTTTAAACTTAATTGAATTCAAGACGTTCGCCTTTGTACCGTCACGACCCTAATGGATCGAAGTCGATACGCTTCAAGCGAAGAGGGTGGTTTCGGGAAAAGGTGTCGTTTTTCAATTTTTATTTTTATTCTTATTTTTTTGTTTCGACCCGTACCTATACACACACAACTGCACTGTGGTAGATGAGCCGTCAAACGTTAAGTGATGTACGTCTATAAAAATTGGTTTGCTTCTCAAAATCGTGATTACACAGAAAATATACTAATGTATATTATACACACATATCAGTTATGATAAGGATAATATATACTCGAAATTCCAAAGAATGCAAGTCATATAAAATGCTGACTCTTATGATGTTATCGTTATATTTAAAAACAAGTTCAGAAGGCAGGTTATTTCTATTCGTATTATTTCAAATTCAAAATAAAAATTTCCAGTTTTGGGTTATTTGTATTAGTTATATGATATACGCTAAGACTATACTATTTGACAAGCTGCACTTTTTTTAACGTGAGAGTAGAATAGATTATGCAACACACTCTAATGTAATATAATCATTAATCTGTATATTAGAAAAAATAATGAGTAAAAACTAAGATTTACTACATGTCAGTATCGTTATAGATTTTTTAAGAACAATATAATACTATAGTAGTGAAGGAAATGTTGAACTCGTAGAAGGTTATTATTTTTTAAAGTTTCGGAAACTTAGGTACTTGAATGTTGGTGCTAACATTCTTGGCGCGTGTTTAGGTGAAAAAATGTTATTATTAAATTAAAATAATGTTAATATATTGACGATTGTAAAAGGATGTATAGTGTACCTATTTGTATACTTGGTTTATCTTACTTACCTACGTCTTTACTTACTTGGTCATGTTATGGTTCAAAATTTCCATTATTTAATATGGTTGTACCAGCTAAATAATAACAAAAATAATACATTTTGTGTTTATTAAGCTTAAATATAATAAAATAAATAATCGAATAGTTCTAGACTATAGTGTAGTGTAACAATATAAAATGTTAAATAATTCAACGAAATATAATACTATGGTCTATATTAGACATAAAAATAAACATTTTGTTTTAATAATCAATGCTTTATAATTCATTACCATCATTTTAAAGTTTACCTAAGTGCAATATAGTCTAATCACTTGAACACGTCCAAAATTAAAATAAATTGTAGGTATATTGTAACACCTGTTTAAGCATACAATTTATATTCAAAAATAATTGATCATTAGTCTTCTATAACAATTAAAAGATCGAGTGTACACAGATTTGCGGATAAGAATTTTGAAGTGTTTGAAAATTATGGGATTCTTTATTGGCTTTAACTTGGAACAAGATTGGTAAGTGCATTTTAAATTCCAAAATATTTTTTTTCTGTGCTAAATATATAACAGTCATCCTATAAACCATTAATTAGTCTAGACATTTCTTTAAACGAAGTTTCGTGTCTAACTTGCTGTGAATAAATTTTTACAGTTAATGCCACTGTAAGTTGTAACTAATTGGTAATTTCGTTCACCTTCTTAAAATATTTATGGCATTAAATGTAAAATCACTAAGGCACCTAAATGTGATTTTCAAATTTTGTAATTTAAAAATGTACCATATTATTTATATCATAAGTCCTGACTAAATGTTTTATGAAGATGAAAGCAATATAGCAAACAACTAATTGATATCAAAGGTTGTTGTAATATTATTAAATTAAAAATTAAAATTATTAACAATATATTGTATAAGGTTATTTAATTTTTATTGGACATAAGTACCTACCTATGGGTTTATTAAAATATTTTATAAAATTAAATGATAGTGAAAAATGTAATAGGTACATTTCTGGTGTTAACTGGTTTATCAGATTTACAGTATAATAATGTCAATATTGTCATTAAATAGTAAACAGCCCTTTGAGTTGAGTTAATATCATTTAGTGGATTTGGAGTGTAACTTGTGAATTAAAAGGTTGTACTTCATGTAAAAACACCAAGTTAAATACCAGCTAGTATATATAATACTCGAACACCATAAACATAATATACATTTTGTCAACTATAACATTTGATGTAGGTACTTATAAATTATAACACTGTTAATATTTGATGAAATACCTACATTTTCGCATTAACTATCTCTGCTATCAAACAAAGTTTTTTTTTACAATTTTCGAAAAATCAAAAAAATGTTATCATAGCTATAGTTAGGTACTATAATATGTATAATATATTCACACGTCACTTTTCACATTGTGTGTGTGTGTGTTGTGAGTGTAGTTTGCACCCGATCAGCGGCGGCGTCGACGGCAAAACTTGTGCGATAAAAGTTTAACTCGGAAACAAGCGAAAGCAGGTGGGAGGGATGTGGTGGATTCGACGACAATGGTATAGCGGTCGCGACTACATTATGGCAAAATTTCACCCCCTCAACATCCCTTACCGAGCGGCCGCCCCGGCTAGCTATTATGTTACATTAGTTACGGACTGTCGAGCCAGATAAACGACGTTCGTTAGCGTACCCGCCACACCCCTTGCAGCCTCACACCCACAGACACTCGACGTGCGGTATGTACACAGTACACACGAGTATATGTTACTATAGGTATGGGTATTCGTAGTACTGTGCAGGTGTGCGTGTGTGTGTGTGTGCATGTGTGCGTTTGTCTTCCTCCCGCCCGTCCCGAATCTGCAGAAGCCGCGGACCGTTTCAAATTCGTCAGTAAATTTACCCTCTAAAACTCGCGTAACTTTCATAATTATTAACGACTATACACGCTGCACCAGTATGCGTGTACAAGACGATAATAGAATTTGTTCAAAAGCCTGTGTGGATTGAGGAGCGGTCGCGTAAATGCGTCGACGGGTTTGTGATCATAATAATTATATAAAATACACATTGATACCACTGATACATAGTACATGATACTTATCTAAGTAGTTTTGTGTTTATATATTATACAAATTGGGCAACCTGCAAGTTTTCCTGTTTTTTCCGTATTTTATATAGATTTATTTATTATGATCTGTCCTGTAACAAAAAAAAGGCGTTTGTTTTTACAAAAAACAATAAAATAAAATTACTACAGTTTCGTATACCAAGATAATATTGTTAAAAAAAAAAAAAATAATAATTTTGATGCAATGTTTTTCATCTCACGTTCTAAAAATGTCATTTTTAAAATACACCAAATATTGAATCGGTATAAGTATACTTTACAAACATTTTGAACTGATTACTGAATAAAGTATATAACAAAATAATATTCACGTGCCGTCAAACGACACTTAATCTAAACTTTAAACTAAAAAGTAAAAATGCGTTGGTACATGATAATAAATTACTTAATTGGTTAAAAATTCATTATATTTTTTAATTAAATTAATCAAAATGATAATGAGATTCAATTCATGTACTTACATAACTTCAAATTGCGGTAACCGTTACCAAAACTTAAATAATGCACAAAATCGTTGTGATAAAAACCAATAAATATTTTAATTTCTTCGTTTCAAAAATTTTTTTGCTGTTACTCTTTCTAAATTAAATAGAGAAAACAAAATATTACAAATATAGGCAGAGAAAATGACTAAAATGAGTGTCTTGGGCAACTTACGTAATATGAATTTAACGATCGTTTATATAATATTATATACTTGGTTATTTTAACAGAAACATTCATTAACTGGAAAACTATTTTTAAGTTTTGGAAAATATTTTTTTACATACTTTTAAGTCATTACAAAAAACATAGATTTTTATATTATATTAAAATTCTCAAAAAAACATTCTGCTTCGAAGAATGAAATTAAAAACGAATTCTGTCTTTCAAAAACCTACAAATCTTACAAGACGATAAATTAAAAATTTCATGTTTTCAAAAATGTTGTTTTGTAATGATTAAATATTTTCAACATTATATAAGTAATAGTTTTTGAGATGATAAGTATTTCTTGTTAAAATAATCCCTGTGTACATCATGTATAAGAGTATGAAACAGACAAGATAGTGTTTAAAATACACTGACATAACGTACTTTCGGAGTATTTTAGTACGCGTAATTTGTTCACCACACGAAACGCGTGCATTGTCTTCTATAATATTGTAGTGGAAGGGAAAAAGTATGCACAATAAAACGTGTTATATTAGCTCTCCACTTTAATTTTCAGACAATATATTATATTATATATTACATGTGTTATATAATATATTATATTATATATATTGCACGCATGTGAACGACGCTCAACGATGTAGGAATGGAATTTCTGGAGGAATTTAGTTGTAGCCAAACTGGCGCGGGGGTGGTAATGAACCGTACAAGAATTTATTGAAAATTTTGGATAGTTATACATGTGTGTACGGTCTCTCGAAAAGGGTTGGCAGTAACCATATTATTATTATTATTATTATTATTATTATATACGTACTCTACACGCATTTTATGCGTCTACGCCAAACGACGAGTATCGTGGCGGACGAGTGTGACATTTTTAAAATATTACTCGAACATGCTTATGCGATTATTACAGGGTCGTCAAACCTTGTACATCTACGCAATTTATCGCGTTTACATTGAAATCATGACGCAGCGCCCTCGTGGAGACACGAGTTGTGCATTACAATGACAACTCGCACACGCGTTTATATAATATATATGTTTCCATAATATTATTGTTGTACTTATTATTTTCGTTTGGACGTTTGCATGTAGACATAACTGATGGTAGGGAGATTAGAGAAGTTTAACCTTTCCCCCCCCCCCCAAAAAAAAAAACAAATATTTGTGGGAAAAAAAGTAGTGAACAATTTTTTCTTCAATAGGACATGCAATTTGCTATGAAAACGAGTATCTAAGACTGTTTCTCAAATAATTTTGCGAATTCTCATAGATTTCCAGTACCATTAGTTATGAGTAGTGTATAGTGTTGGGGCGATACCAACTTCTATTTCCAAATGAGGACCAACATTTTTTGCTGTACACTTGTATTATAGTTGTATACTTAATTTTTTTTTTTTTGCGAAACCGTTCAATAACATAATATTATATGCACATTATACATTTGCATACATCGTAAATAGCTTAAGTATTTTCCACGACTGGTCGTGAACATATACCTACCAATGGAAACTGTCATCAAACGGTTAGCGGTCGCGACTTAATTGCAAAACAGTGTTTATGATGCGGTTGCGAATTTACTTTATACAACATATTACGATATCTATATAATATTAATACGCGTTTATATATCATCATCATAATATATTCGCGTTGTGCTTTTGCCAATAAAAATCATTCGAAAATCTGTCGACTGCGCGCACTTAACATGTCGCATCAAAACGGTGTCAGTGGCAGCTCCCGAGTTTGGACGTGTTATTATATTATGATGTCGGACCACTGCAGGTATATAATATGTATATAAAATGATATATATATTTCATAAAATGCAAATTCACGCGTCACGTCGACGCGCAACGACGAGACGGGATTAAGGTTTAGTGTTTGTCCGTTCCCGCCACCCTCTCGAAAAGGGTATAGGTTGTTGCCGGTCGAGTGCGTGTGTTTATAATGCCGTTGAGGCGTTTGACGCGTCACGATGAGTGAGGCTTATCTAATTTAAAAAAAAAAAATTAAAAGTCAAAAACCAGCAAGAAAATTGCGAATCTCTTGTGTATAATACCCATAATATAATATAGACTCGCTCAATCGACAAACGTATAAAATATAAAACGGGAAATTAAATCAATATGGTGCGAGCGTTATAAACGCGTTCTGAGAGGCGGGGAGGAGGATTGTTTTTAATGGGCCTAAGAGTTATGATCCGGAAAACAGTAGGGCAGACGTGATATCAGAGTGCAATTTCGAAAACCCGATGAATTACAACCCATTGTGCGTTCGCGGGCCCCGTAATAATTGGCCCGTCCGCGGAGGGGTAATCGATTTGTTCGGAATGGAAGTAACTTACTGAAAAAAAGAGAAAAAAGTCGTTCCAACAAATATAGTTTTCTATAAAAAATAGCTAAACTGTAGGTATTTGTCTAATATTGCAAGTGTGTTATACACCTGCCGGAAAACATAATTTGTTGACACACCCTCTAATCTTGTACGTGGTTTTCCGTGCGTTTCTGCATACGTTTTATAGCTATTACGCCGCTTCGTCGTCGACGATATCACCACCAACCGCTGTGGCGGGCAACAATTGCAATGGTGGTGGATCAAAGGCTTCAAAACGCCAAAAAGTCAGCCATCAGTTCTCGGTGAAGGGCGGCCGTAACCAGAACGGAGGCTGTGGTAGCGGTCAACCGACGGCTGGACAAGGTCTACAGCAACAGTCGCATCACGCCATCGTGCCGGACCAACTCAAGCTCTACAGTGAGTTGACTAGTAATATAATGATTTATTGTAAATGGTGTAAGTCCTGAAATCCCCCACTATGCCCGAGTGAAACGATTTTATTTTAATCAGACCCGGCACCTGTCATCAATAATTGAGTTATTTATATTCATCAGATAATATCGAGTATGGGAAACGGTTTTAAAAAAGATTAAAGGCATATTAAGTTTTTGTCTGAATGTAGATATGTGTTTTGAATTAAATACCTAAATATCTGATAATATGTGTTTTTTATAAAATATATCAATACATTTCAAGGATTTGTAGAAATATTTATAGGAAATATAGATGTATTTTTTAGATTATTATTAAAATATATGCTGAATACTTAACTAGTAATGTATACCGAATTGTGTTGTATTAAACAGTAATAAAATATTATAAACATTGTATAAAATAAACCTCACAATAAAAAAAATAATTTAAAAATTCAAAAACAAGTGAAACTACAGATAAAAAATAAAAGAATATTAAGAAATAATAAATAATATTTGAAATAAACATGCTACATTTCATCCGCATTATTGGGTTTTCGATTAATTTTTTTTTCTCGGCTATAGGTATAGTGTTTAGTGCGCGACCGATACAAATTTAAATAGGTATATTATATTATTAGTTTAAAATGGCCTAGCGAAATCAAGTCGGCAGGTCAAACTAGCGAAACGTACTACGTGATAACTAATAACTAACTATATATAGCTCAAAGGCTGTACAACTAACCCACTGATTTTACGCAGGCAATCCAGACATACTGATATGTGGCAACTGTCGCGAGATGTTCACCGAACTACAAGGTCTATTGGATCACAAGAAGGAATACTGCAAACTCAGGTTCACCTGCAAGTGTAACAACTCTGTCAAGCCCAATTTCAACAACAATAACAGTAAATGTTTTATGATAATATTAATATTTGTTGTCTGGCACTGTTATAAAGTACAAATAATAGCTTGAACAGTCCGGTGTCACCCTATTATAATTTATAACCCTCTCCTTGTGACATCAGAACTTCACTTTCGTTACGACTTTATATTTTTTAACATATTATTATAATAGAATATGCATTATCGGGGTCAGTGCATTAGAGCGGTTCACAAGTTTAGATTTACGTATTTTTAAATACATACTATGTCAGCCAGCAAACTACTCGTATAATGTCGTGACTCTGCAATGATGAATACCTGGCACCAGCCCTAAATATAGAAGTCAGCCATTCCTAGGCCTGATCTAAATACGTAATGCCCTACTAGCGGTAAACACCATAAAATAAACAACCTTATAAAAAATTACAACCACCTAAAAAAGGACCGTATAGACGTGGCAACTTACCATGTGTCGAAATCAACTACTATGTCATTTTGTCTTAATTAAATAAAAAAAATATCGAATTTTCCGACGTCGTCGTTGTCAAGTCAAGCCTTGTAATCGTCGTGCAAAATTAATTAAAATTGATTTAAATAATATATATATTCCGACACCTAGAAGGCGTACGCATAGCTTGTAAGTATTATTATATTAAACAATTATTACAAAAGTGTTTAAAGAAAAAATGGGTGCGTTCAATAATATTTAAAAGTGCTGTTTGGGAAAATCGATAGTGCCATTACGGCGAAAACGGATAAACATTAATAATAATAAATAACAATATTATTATTATTATTATTATTATATAATTTCAACTTAAAAGAAAACCAATTAAATAATTCGAACAATGCGAGTGACAGTGCACCACGTGGTGTACATAATATAGGAACCTAACCGCATTTATTTATTTCCACTCGATCGGTAAACCGGCCGACCGTGATCGAATAGTATGGTACCTTAATCTATAACATACTTAATTATTAATTAACTAATGGTGTGTGTGAACTGTAGATTATAGTAACGATAATAATGGGATTAAATGAATTATTCCTACACTACTCTAATTAAAAAAAAATGTATTTGATACAAGAATTTGTTACGTTCGTATAAATCTAGTTCAATGAAATATAAAATGTAAGTTCCAGAATTCCCCCATACTTGAGAAATTGCCTGAAGGGCGTGGTCTTAAGAAATTATTGGTGAACAGCGGGTCCAAAATTATAGCGCTCACTAAAATATAATATTATAGGGACAATATTTGATGTCATAATAATATCTTCGATACAAAGTAGAGACTAGAAATATGTAGGAATGGGTCTTACACTCTTACAGGTTTGGTTAGAATATACATAATAGTTCTTGGGATTTGGTAGTAAAAAAAATCTTTAAAAAAACCTTTATTTATCTACCATTTTATCTATTCTTTTTTATCATTAACCAATAACCAATAGCTAACTTACAAAATATGTTAGCTTATTTATTAAATAATACAAATAAATATGCAGAGAGGAACATGAGTTTTGCAGTTAACAGCAATATATTGTTGAACTTTAAAAAAAATAGGTTTAGTTGACATGGAAGAAAATACAAACTTAACTCAGCTAAAAAGAAGATATTTTTTTTAGGGAGGTCACGCACTCACGCGTATAGTGACAGGAAAAAGCTAAGTTGTTGTTAAGGTAGATTCTCTAACTCGTTAAGTTAACTGATAAGTTAATAAGTTTTAATAAACTAAATGTTAACTTGTTAATGCCGTCCTCCACCTTTGTAAATATATTCAAGAACCAAAATAATAAGTGAGTAAGTTCATTTTTACTTAATTCAATTGTGTTTGTGTATTATTTTATGCCATATACTTGATAAAATGAAGGTTAGTATAGTTAGGTATACTCCTATTGAACAAAAAAAATAAATTTTCTTATTATTTTTCCACCCTTAAATTTCTGATGTCACCAACTTTCCCAAGACATTGATATAAATTATATTATATCAGAAGTTAGAACTTGCATAATATCTTGCTTTTTAACTCGTACACTAAAAATATACCTTTCAATTTTTATTTTTTTCGTAGTTATGTTAGAATAGTTAAATTTCAATAACAAAATAATATAATAATACCTTTTATGATTTGTATTATATAATATTTTAATATATATTTTACTGTAGTACGTATACCGAATTTCACGTTTTTCCTGTACCGATATTTGTTTCTTTTGTCCTGCAGAATGGCCCGGAAACTTGAACGAGGGCTGCTTGTCTTTGGTGTGTGTCCAGTGCAAAGAATCGTTTGACAGTGCCTGGGATCTCATGGTGCACGCGCAATCGGCTCACATGATGAACGTCTACCAGTTGACTACTAGGGACCAGGTAACTGCGTCACCAGTGGGTACAGAATCGGAAAACGGATCGACGGTAAGTCTTCTTAACGATGATATAATATCAAACTAGCAGTACTTACAAAGTTACAACATAATATTTTATACTCACACCAACCACCCTTCTTTGGCATTGGCATTTTTTGGTCGTTTACGGTACAGGATGTGGGATGCAGATAATTTTTGAAATGTGACTTAGATGGGCAGACTGCATTCTAAATGATCATCCAACTTGGATTATCTTGCACTAAAGTATTAGAGTTTATAGTAAAATGCAGATATATTTTATGTATTTTACGACGTCTTGCAAAATTAAATTACTCTGTAAATATATGGTAACATTTTAATCGTAAAACATAGGTATAGTATTTAACATTAGTATTGGGAATTTGAGCTTGTAATTATCGATACACGGTTAAAGTTTATATTAACTGTTATATCTTAATATTATTTATTAATATTACGGGGTTATCGACTTTAGTTCTTTTTACTCTTTTTACTAATGATTTTTAAAATACTATTTGGTTTATTAAACCGACGAATTATGTTTACTACTCGAAACAATAAAATGCACCATATTAGTGTTGATTTTTAATCGAATTCAACTGATGTTAACCGGAACTAAGAAATTATTAAAAGCGTACTTGAATAGTGTAATTATTATTCCGAGTAGTTAACCCTAATCATAAATCGATTAAACCCATTAAAAAAAACATTAATATTCATATAGGTACTCTGTTTCAATCCCAACGCTTGTGTCTAATGAACAAAAAACAATATTTTAAAATTAAAACTGAATGTATTTTTAAATTATATAGGAAAAATGTAAACCCAACAATATTTTATTTCATAATACAATAGTCAAATTTAATATTTACTTGGAGTTGTTTTATTTCCATATTTCTGATTTAATTTTCTCTGACATACTAATTTCATATTTACATATTGTACTACTATTACTTGTAAAAGTATAACGCTTATAAATCTGCGACTGATTTCAGTCTGAAACATGAACGATTTGACATAGTTAATTCAAATGAACGAATTGCTTCTTTGTATTCATGAAAATATGCAGTGTAGTGTTTATGGCATTATCTTATTTTCTCATTTTAAAAGTTTAATCGTTTCTAAAACTTCTTTGACTCTACATACAAAACGGATGATGGTTTTTTTAAGTTTTGCTCGTAACGTTTAAATATAATAATAATCTTTTGGCCATCGATTCTATACAAATCGCGAAATCGTCAAACAGACAAAATAATATATTTAAATATATAATATGGCACGTGTTGATTTAATTTGTACTCAAATATGAATAAATCTGAGTTTACCATAAATTGATTATAATATGAATAATAATGGTCTCATCAATAGACGTTTTTTCGTTTGACTGCTGCAGATAGTATTTAGATATCAAAGCGTATCCAAAGAGCAGTGTTGGACAAAAATAACTAAAAATATATCTAGTATCTTCCTATAGGTAAGCAGTGATAATTCATTGAAAATTAATCTAGATAAAAATAGATAACTCAAAACTCAAGTTTTTTGTAAAATAGCTTTTTTGCTATAAATACATGGACATATTATAATATTATATAGACCTAACCTATAAGTTTAAATGTTTAAAATTCGTAAATACTTGTATTTTAAATACATCCATCGGCATACAATACACAATGTAACAATGTTAGTACTAGAAAATAACAAACTACCAGTATGAAACAATTAATAAAATAAATACATATGAGAGAACTAAACGAATGAAAAATAAAATCGATTAAATAGGATATAGGTTAAACTAAAACGTCCCCCAAAAAAACAAAATCGAAAATCTTGTCACAAAAAATATATTATCTCAGATAATTAACCACTGTCTTTAAATATAGAAGAACAATAATATATGATAAAAAATTGTATTCTATAGACAAGACAAAAATGTTAAATATTTTCATCCAAGTACAACTATTGTCTGGATACAATTATCCAGACGATGAACTGCAATACTGCGGCAAGTAGTTGGAACACCGTGATATTATGTCGAGCCGGCTGTGCACGAGGGTCGGCTAATTTAACAAATGCGTTTCTGATGCGAGTGAAACGTAGGCAGGTTCGCATAAGCCGGGTGGGTGTATGGGTGGTGGGTACGCACGCGTCAATTAAGCCGCGATCCCCGGGGGGCATGTCCGGCAAGTTGATCTTTTATTTTATTCTTTTTGAGATTTTGCCAACGCGGTTTGCACGAACGAATCCTGCTCGACGTACTATAGTCAGTCGGTATAGGTAGGTATGTGTTTTCGTTTTTTTTTTTGTTTACACAAACGCATGTATTTCCAAAAGGTCAGGCCAAACAGCAATATCATTATCTCGAGGCACGTTCCGTTCGGCGCGTTTTAATCCATTCGGTTATATTATACTCGTTTATTAAATAATTCTTTTTTCTCTATCGTTTTAATAATCAATCTTCACGATAACAGTATTGGAATTAATTGCATTTTAAATAATAATTATATCATTATGAAAAAATATAAATAAAAATAAAAATATTTCAAGGAGCAATTATGGAAATATGAAAAACTCCGTATAAGTGATGTGATTTATTGCCTAAATAATACCTTATGTGTCTAATATTTACGTCTTGTACGACGAGGTCTCTTCGATCAACAACAATCCATGCCTACTATATATTTATTTTGGCACACCATCCGCTGTTATAAAATCTAGTCTATTACTATTACTATTACTATTTCTGTTTAGGTCCCACCAAGGTATGCTTTTGAAAGTATTGGCAGCATATCATATAATACTTCATTATATTTTTATATTAGAGTCTGAAACCATTACTTGGACTGTCCAAAGCCAGCCAGCTCGTATAAATTCTCATAGGAATAGTGAATACGGAAAAGCATCCGGTGATCATCCGACCACAAAATGATCTTTCAGAGACCCGTCAGCTGTTCACCCCTCGTGACTTTATACAAGTTAATTATATTATTATTTATTGTGATATACAATAGAAGTACAGGTTTAATTGTATTAGAAATGTAATTGTTTCATACAAATATTTAAAGTGTTAAAAAACTTGTTTCTACTGAAACGTTACGAATAAAATCTGTTTTCTAAATAATTTTCATTACATTTACGACTGCAATTACGACTTGAAAACGAACGAGGACAAAAATTTTGAACCTTTAACAGTATAATGGATATTGATGATATAGGTACAATAGAGTGTAACAGAAAGACCTGACAAAATAAAAATAAATAATCTATCATACTATTTTAACATATGAAAAAAAAACATGAACAATATGTAGATAGTAAATTATTTAAGATTTACTTATGTCTAAAAACTTCCAAGAATAATATTTTGACAAAAGTTTTTACGTTTTGATTTATAATTCTCTCCAAAAAAAAATATTGATATTTAATTGCAAAAAATAAACTACTTGTATAAACAATCGTCTTAACCATGAACAATTTTCTAAAAATTAGATTAACACATTTTCTACTTTAACAGTTTCTAAAAACAATGTAATACAATTTAAAATTTCTTATTTTAAGTTTTAAAAAGAAAAAGAAAGAAATCTTATACTGTAAGAACTATTGTAACGCAAGCGTCTACAAATTATTTATAAAAGAATAGTTTTTAAATGTTGATTAGAATAAAAGTTATGTTATACCATGCATAATCAATGGTTCAGTGATTGATAGAGTTACAAGCAATGGTGACTAGGGCGTTCTTTTCACTGCCGATCTTAACTTCCGCCCTCACATTGACTCCATCTGCTGCCGAGCCCTCAAATCGCTTGGCTTCGTAATGCGCACCATGAATGAGTTCAAACTGTCTGGATCTCTTAAGACTGTCTACTGCTCTTTAGTCCGAAGTTTGCTAGAGTATGCGTTTGTGCTCTGGGACCCATTTGTGGTAATTGATTCTTGCCACTTAGAGCGAGTTCAAAGGCGCTTTCTGCCGTCTGCGGCTTACATGCTAAAAATTGTCCATCCTCCTCATGACTATACTCCAGTATTGCACGCACTTAACCTTACTTCTTTAGCAGATAGACGCGTTAAAGCTAACCTGGGCTTTTTGCAAAAGTTAATCGATGGTTCCATAAATGCCCCTTCACTGCTTGACCAAGTAGACTTTAAAGTTCCACATCGGGCCACAAGGTCTCGAGTTCCTTTTACTGTACCTCTCCACTGCACCAATTACGGTAAAAACAAACCAATTGACCGCATGATGCGGTTGGCTAACGAGGACCCCACCTTTCTCAGTTTACCTTAATATTGTGTTATTATTTTGACATTTCTTGTATGTAATTTTACTTGTGTCCTAATTATTTAAATTTATATTTATTGTACCTGTAATTCTGCTGTATTTTTAGGCCATCGCCCCTTGTATATGTTAACTATCTTATATTACTGAATTATTGTTGTGTGCTGTACTAAATAAGGAATTTTTATTCCGTAAATTAATTAATAAATAATAAATAATAAATAAATAATAATAAAGCTCTTCGTTCTATACGGAAATTTCAAGACTACTCGTCTGTCTTGTGCTGAGTTGTGCAGCGTGCTCGACGTTTGACACTGTACAACTAAGGTGCGTGTTAGAACACTATAATTTTGATTTTTTTTCTCGGAATTTTTTGTCGTAAATTCGGTGAGGACACAAATCCCTTGTTTCGTGTTTACCTATCATGATGGGTTGGAAGCCCTTAGCTATATATTATATATGCCTTCAGTTGCAGTACATATCAGCTGTTGTGACGCAGACGGCATCGGGGATGACGAATATAATACATAACTACATAAGTAATATATGTAACATAGGCGTGTTTCTGGTCGATTGATTTCGCGTGTCTCTTTTACAGTGTAAGTGTATACATAAACGCGATAAACGAACAATAATAATTACACTTCCACTGTTGTTACAACACAACACCCTCTGACGCAAACACGTGACGAGTGGTGACCGACTGGTCCGAGGTCGTAATTAAAACGCGAAACGGAATCAAAATATACACGTTAAACGCGAGTACGAACACACACACACACGCACACATAGTCACGTTATTTTAATATATATGTATAAACGGATAAGCTAGCAAACGCAGCGCCGCCCGTCGTAACGAGGGAGCAGCCACACCCTAAAAAAACCGGCGGAATGATAACCACCGGAAGTGATCAATCGTGGGCGTGGTGCGTGACGACCGGGCTTCGTGTCTAGGACTTTGTCTGACATTAAGTTATTAAAGCTGCCACCGCCGCTGTTGTTGCTTTTGGGAAGTAAATAAAAAAACAACAACGCGATATACCTAATATAACTCGCGAGCGGAGCGTGCTGCAGACGCGACTTATATTATAGCAATCAAAATCGTCGTGCTTGGATTTCCCACGTTTACAGTATACGTTTATTTTATATTATACTAACTGATCCCATGCACTTCGTTGCCCGTTAAAATTACCATCCCTATATAAGAGACTTGATGGTGATAATGCGAGCAGTGGTGCATACTACATTACTATCTATATGATTATATGAATAATATGTTTTATTTTTATTTTATTTTTCATTTTGATAATGGACACTTCTATGAACTATAAGTGCAACTCAGCCTCCTTGATAGGCAATGTGGGAAGATTCGATTTGATGCATGCTTAAACTTGTTTTGCCCGATGGACCATTAGCAATCAAAAAACAAAAAAAATACTAATTCCCACTAAAAAATTAAGAAAATGAGTTATTAATTAAAATAAACGTATACATTGTACACGTTTATACGCATATTTTATGGCACTGCAGCCCGCGGGTTTCCAGTAACCTGACCTTATTGTCCGTCAAATTATATATTTTACTTAATATTGTATATCTTTGACTTGTGGCATTACGAGTTCCGCAAATAATGAAAGCTACAGAAAAACACTAAGAAATCCACCCCTTCCAACCCCCCCAAAAAATCTTCCTAGTTGCGCTTGTGTGTGTGCGTGTGTGTGGTCGTGAATGTGTATTTGGGTCAGTGCCACTCAATTAGAATAATGGTGAGGATGAACCAATTAAACGAAAATATTAAAAAACTCAGTTGAACCTAAAAAAACTTTAATACCAAAAATAAAAATAGAATATATTGATGATAATCAAATCGAAAATAAAATATTTTTAAAATCTATAGCTGTATGGTTTGTAAATAACAGCCAACTGTCTTTATTTAATACAACTAATTTATATGTGACTCATAATATATTATGTTATTATTGAGACATCGTGAATGTATGGTATCATATTATTGTGTTATCGTTGTATCGATGTTATATCAAGGGAATAACGGGTAAACACAACGGCCCACCCTTTGTGACAACAAAAGCCCATGGACACGTCACCGCCGCTCCTTAATTCACTCGCGACGTGGAGACTTTACGGTGAATACAAATAGCTTATAGGGGAAAAGGCGCCATCGTGTCGCCTACGACGATGCTTCAATATGTTGAAAGTCGAAACGAAATACAGACATTATATATCATATAAAGTTATATATATATATTATTTACTGGCAAACATTCGTTCTATTGAATTCATAAATTATTACCTTTAAGTATTTTCATTAATCAAAATTATATATAATATATTTTACAAAACAACAATCATCATTCACAAAAACAAAGTACAAATCTGAGTTTTCAAATATTAAGCTATTATTTTAAAAAATGTCAATACATGGGCTTCCAAAATATATAACCTTGTAGATAATTAATTGTCTTCCTTTTAATACTTTTAAATAATAAGATATTTTATAATTTTTCCCTATTGTAGGATAATGGATTCGAATTTAAATTGCATATCATAATAATAAGTATAAACTAACAAATTTTGTCTCATAATAAATAATAACAATAATGCGATGTTGTAGTGAAAACACTTTTTCACCCCAATTTGTGTCCGCTGTCCAATTTTCAATCCATTATATTAGATAGAGAGTCTGGTGTAACTTTCAGAGTACTTCATCCAACAAAAAATAAAAATAAAAGCGTAAGATATAAAAAAAAAATATATCAACCTTGTAAAACGAAAGCCTCCGCTGAAAATCAAAAAAGTTTTTCTATCGCGATATTTTGGTGTACACGCTTAGCTATTATAAAAGTGTCTTGTTGTTATAGGGTTGATTTCTATAGTTAAAAATATAACAAATATAATCCCATCTGTGTACTGTGAATTATGAGAGGATTATTTTTACACGCCTATTATAATATTAAACATATTATAAAATCAACCACACCCGTTCTTACGGAGGTCCACGATTATCCGTTAAAAGACAAGTCGACTTGCACAATATAAAATTCGGAAAATCATCGTGATATTATTATGTGGTTAATTTTCTTTTAACCTCATCATAAAAATTACTCACCATTGTTTCCCGGAGATCTTTTCTCTTCTGTACTTATTTTCACTTCGACATTTTCAATCGGCCGAGAGCGATTTTAGTGTATTCGTTGGTTGTGGCTTGGGAGCTGTGTCTGTTGTTGTTGTTGTTGTTTTTTTTTTAATACCTACCTAGTCGAGGAATTTATCAAACACAATTCACTTTCCTTTGCCCATTTTACCCAGGCTACAAGACCTATCGTTTGCACTCGGCCGAAATTGTTTTCGCCATTTGATGTTGTTCAGTCGTCGGTCGTTTTGATAAAACAGCCTTTTGTAATCGGCGTGTTTTTATTATTGCTTTGGTGTTCGATTAATTTCCGTGACATTGAGACATCATCCCGTTCACCGCCCCCTGGCTCCCGGGTACTTTAATATTTGCCAACTTTAAGGCTAAATTCTCTAAAAACGCACTATAATAATATATAATATATTATTATATAATTTATATAATTTTATAATCGAATACAATTTTTCTTGGGAGTCGAAGTGGATGAAAGTATAGTCATTTTTAGTATTTGAATCTATAATTAATAGTTTCTTAAAAATTGAGGCGATACCAGTACTAAGTACTAACCATATTGGCCCAACCCTTAAAAGTGATATTGTACAACATGGGCAATTAAAGTTCGAACTTTTTTTAAGGATTAACTCGAATGAAACCAATGTAGTCAAGTAAATAAAAATTAATTAATGCCTTTTCAATTATGTTTATAAAACAATCATAATCTTTAAGTTATTTTAGTTGTTTAATGGCTTGGGTTACTTTCTATTTGATAAAATATTGGAAAAATTAAAATTGTTGTGGATTGGCATATCTCATATAAAACATATTAATATTATTTTGTTATTTGCTAAAAGCTAATTAATTTTTAAAAATATAAACTCAGTTATATTGATTACACGATAAAAAATATTATACATCCAATGACCACTTGCTTAGACAGTTTAATATTTTTATGATACATCTAATCGTGTATCATTGGATTGAGCCATTATTGCCCCGAAGTTATTATTAAAATGTAAACGACAACACGACCCATGTGCTGCTATCTATAAAATAATTTTTTCTGAGAGTTGGATCAGTTAGGTTAGGTCCTAGAATAAATTATAATTTTGTAACATATTTTCAAATAAAATGCAATTTGTAGCATCGATTTATCGCACTAAGTATACTTAGGTACGTTAAATAATATGTAAGTAGTTGTTTTAATTTCAATAATATATACTGGCTGACTCTAGACCTAGTAGTATAGTTTACGGGTCACTATTATATCAGAAGGTCAAAAATGGAATGATGATAATATCACGAGATGGCGGAAAGAGTCGGCGAATCAGTGATATAACTAAATTGCATGTCCAATATTCAGTGTAATAATAATATTGTTATTGTATTATTGAAATGCATTCAAATTTAATACAAAACCCATTACCCATACTATATCTCGGTTGGTCATCATGCAATTATGGATTGTATTATACCTAAATATATTATGAAAAATATAAAACCTATTGTAGATTTTCAATGTAGGGTGAAATATATGTTACATGGAAATGTATACAATTATCATTATCCATAAAAAATTTTTTTATTTTTATTCGTTACGTATCTCAATGCCTTTATATACGGCTAGAAAGCTCATGTTTAAAATAAGTCGAGGAAACGAATCGAGATGAGGGTTGAAAACATACTAAAGCAAAAAAAATCAATGACTGCAATATTATAGCTTTAGCATGTATGTTGAGTACTGCGCCAAACCGAAAAATCGTTGAAAATAATTACGATAATAATATTTATGATTATTTTATTTTCTATTATTGTTATACGATTGCAGTGTTCCGTGGGAGCTCAAGTGAACATCGACGAGGACGCAAACGGGTCGGCGGACGAGTCTCTGTGCAGTGGACGTAACGAGTTGTACGAACCGATGGACAGCGATCGTGAACCTAACCTAACCTCTCCAGCGGCAATGAGCTTCATCGGAGAAACGGAAAAGGAGTTGACCGACGCACCGCCGATGACATCTTCCTGTCAAACTTGTCTCATTCAACAGCCTAACATCCAAGCGCTCATGGGCGTCCATTGAACCGCAAACAAATAACAATATTATATAATATACAATATATACATAATATTATATATATATTATAATTTCGTCGCCATAATATATTCTAGTATACTAGTATATCATATAATTATCTATATAGGTAAGCGACAACACCGACTTAACGATCCACGACCATCGTGGTAACATTTGGTCGTGGTTGCGTCAATTTATTTTTTATTTATTTTTAAATAAGTCTTAGGCATTTTTCTTTTTTTTGGAAACACACATTTTTTTGCACGTCTCTCTCATTTTATATTTTGAGAAAAAAATTATTTATGCTTTTATATGCAGTAATAATGCACAGCAATTGAATAATGTTGCTGTATAACAAAATATCTATAATCTATTAAAATAATTTATAACATACTACCTATTATACTGACATAAAAGTATGGAAATTAAATATTTCTGAATTATATTTTTAAACTTGGTTTTATCTACATTTTCTAGTCAAAAACAAGATATCGGTTGACCCTCCAAAATTTTTAAATATAACTTTAAATTGTTGTATCTCCTGTGTATAACATTATGTACAATATTATAATAGACAGTATCGTTTTATTTAGTACAATTATTCCATAGTGGTGGAATTTGCCATTAAAATTAATAAACCAAGTTCCTGTGTGGTGAGGACTAAGGATCTACTACTTCACCATTCTCAAACCACAACTTTTAATCAAAAATATGAAATTTAATAAAATGCAATAGAGACTTATATACACTTTTTAAGAAATTTACTTACATATTCAGTAAAAGCATTGAAGAATAATTATATTTGATGAATTATACCAAAGTAGATCATTTAAAATGTGTTAATTATTTTCATTGGCCATTTTAATCTTTCGAAGAACATTTTAAAAATAAACGTGTATATTTTAAACCATTTAAATCGTAATCTTGAGCGCTATAATTGTTTCTAAATATTGCACCATTTTGATTAATTTCATATTTTGGGTAAAGATGGTTCCTATATTATATCAGTATACTTACATAGTGTTATAGTGCCGTTTTTCTTTTCAGGATATTTTTATGTTAGGATATAAATATTTAAATAACAATAATAGCTAACAACCACATTGTGTTGGATGACAATGAGCTACATCATTAAAGAGGAATGAAAACTTTCTCGTATTTAAAAGTTGACTTGTTTTACAGGTCATTTAAATCTTCTGTAACACACAATACAAAATCTCTTCGAACTTATTTTGCCACATTCAATGAAAAAATGAAATATATACTGTTTATTTACTTACTAATTTGAACGACATTTGATTTACTAGTGAGACAGTGAGTCAAATACTGCATATAAATACAGTGTAACAATAATATTTACCTAAAACAACCCTAATGGCAAATATAATTTAGGATACCTTAGGTTGGGTTTTATTTTATACTTTTCAATAATTTTGAAAATGTGTCGGTATTATATATTTTCTACAATATGTGTTTAAAAAGATATGAACTTGAATAAAAAAAATGCACAATCTTACAAATAAATAATTGAGTTCGTTGCTGTTGTTTTTTTTCCAATGTTCATTAGTTTTACAGATCTTACACTTAATAATTTATCTTCAAAAGTTGAGATTCTGAAAGATTTATGATTTGTATATTTCTAATTACTATGGTATAAAATAAGTAAATTATTTATCGTAGTGGATTGATACATACTTACGTGTTGTATACAATTGCATAGTATTAATATATATTATATTATTTCCAATTCAGATTTGCTTTTTGAACTAACACCGCCGCCCGAACACTAGGCAACTTTCGCACCATCGATACGGCCAATGCCAATACAGCAATATTATAATTATTATTATTATTATTATTATTATTATTATCATTATTATTGTAATTGTTGTTATTGTTGTTATTGTAATAAAATAATATTATAATGTACCTAACCTACGGCGCCCACTGGAAAACCATGACGCAATACGTTTGTATTAAATTAAATAATAATATGTTTAAGAACAATCTGAAGCCTTTGACGATTTTGCGCGAAAGTATATTTATTATATGTATATTATTATTATTATTTAGCAATTATTATTTATTTACTTGTTAGTTGAAAACGACATTTTTGTCAATCATTTTATTTGTCACCACTATAGGTACATAATAATATTAATTATTTAATATTATCACCTTACCTGTGTACGTTGTACGTAACGCTCATCGTATGATAATATTTATCTACCCAATAATGTATCGTTTTTATTTTAATTTAACTATAAATAATTAATGCACCATAACAATATCGAAAATTCTACACATGCATAATATAATACATGTTCGGTATGCTACAGAATATTTTTTTTATTCGTGATGAAATAAATTACAACTATATATTATATTATATTCAATATTGTATACAGGGCAATTCATTATAAGGTAAACACTCCTCAGATTGCATATGGAAAATATCATAATCTTTTATAATAAAACGTGAACGGTTCGGTTAGGACTTAGGTTAGGTCGGTGTTTAACAATAACATATTTTGTGGAACATAATCATTACCAAATGCTTTCTATGTCATTTACTCGAAATGTTTTAATGTTTTTTGGAAATATATTTTTATTAGACAATTTGAAGTCATTTCAATACAACATTTTTGAAAACAAAATATATTTTTACTATTTCTAGCGTAATTATTTTTAAATGTTTACCCATTTTTAATTAAAACGTATATCAACGTAATATTCTAATTTGGAATATGCAATTTGAATGTAGGTATGTCGTCAAAAAAGTATAAAAAAAATGATATAACGATAAAAATTAATAAATAATAATTAAGATATTTCCAAAAACCTATAGAATTGAGAGCGAGTATTAACCTTTAAAATAAGCTCTGTACAAACGATATAAACGAATTGAATAAATTCAGGGGCGGATCTGAAGCCTGGTTAAGGGTGGGGGCGAATAGGAATATTTCTGAGTGACATATGGAGTATAATGAAATAATTAACGGTAATAATCACGGTCCATAGTGTATTTCATTGTGTGATAAGCTATTGATAACACAAATCTACGTTTGGTTATCGATGTTTATCGGAATTAAATAAATCTAAAAATAAGATTTCCAAATATTCCTTTACCTCGGCTTATCTGTATATTATAGAATCAATGTCATAGCTAATATCACAACCTCGATCGTATATAGAACCATGATCACAACTATTATTTACTATCATGAAACCACGAAACATCCTACTTATACAAATAAATACATAATTTATAAGTATTTATAAAATTATTATATAAACCTATTTAAAAAATATGAAATAAATCTGTATAAAAAAGCCCAAGGGGGGCGATCACCACGTCCCCCCCTCAGATCCGCTCCTATTTGGATTCGCATTGAAACGAACAAAAAGCTGTTTCAATAAATTGTAATATTTGAGTACCTACTCTGCACCATACAGCGCCTATTGTATACCTATACTTATCAGTGTTAAGAAAAAACTCATTGATTAACACATTATTATTACCTAAGCTTAAAATTTAAAATTGATAAATTTCGACGAATATACTCATTGAATTTCTCATTCGTTAGAGAAATTAATTACACCACATGAGTTAAAAATAAAAATTCAATCGCATTATCCATGATTAATTTTGTTTAGTTATATTTTTATTAGTTATAAATTATATTTTTTCCCCAACACTGATAATACTTCTTATAATAAATATAATAAATTATGTGTATAAAAAACATTTCTGTTGTTCACTCGACTAGCGTATACTAATTAGGTACGATTTGTTTTTTTTTTTTTTATATAATGTTAAGTAATACATATCATTACGTTTAAACGCATAACGGTTAGACCATTATGTATCCAAATTTATATATTATTATTACATTTTTCGTCAAACATATTATAATATTATATTCATGTGTATACTACAGTCTACAATTGTATTGTACCCACTTAGCCTACAAACAATTGTATGGTCTAATATCATTGTACTCTAGTCTAATAAGTTAATAAATTGTTTGGCAATATTTAATCGGATCTGTGTTATAATTTTTTGTGACCTGCGTAGCTGCGCTTTCACGTCGACTGCGGTCAAACGTTTTACAATAATATTATGTGGGTTGTACGGGGTGGTTATTTTAAGTCAAATTCCTTTTTTTAGATATCTGTTTTAAATCATAAGATAAAAAAATCATCTGCTTCACAATTGTTCAAAGTTAATATGAGGTTGATTCTCATACTGAAAAAGAGAATAGCCCCAGTATACTCCTCAAATAATTATTCAAATATTTGAAAATAAAATGGTCTTTAAATATATTTCAAAATTTTAAAAGTACGAATTTGAATAAATGCTTTATCAAAGTAAAAACGTGGGAGGGGCAGCATGCTTCTAGTCAAAATAAGCCTGTTTAAATATAATAACAGAATTAAAAATATTGTGCACGCGTTTAATAATAACAGTTATTAATTAATTATATTTTATAAAGTTACTTTAAACGCTATATTTTTCCTTCGGTATTGTATTTTAAATTGACGTTTGTCTGCTTCATTGATTATTTTTCCGTGCACGGCTGTAAAACACTTGGCCGTTAAGACGCCAGAGAACTATAGTAAACGCGAGTAAGAAATGGGTTTTTTTACATAAATTACTCAGTGTACCTATACGCGTATAATTCAGCACTTAAATGTTAAACAGCTTTCCCGCGAATTAAATGTTAACTTTATAGATTGTATAAGGGGGCTACGTGGTTTGTAAAATAAATTTATTGTCGATCTTTTTCGTATCTTTTGAAAACAATTCTCCGCGTACAGAACGCCATCGCCTGAATTTGGTATCTCCGCCTTACAAACGCAAAATATGACTATACTGCGGCATAGAGTGACACCCGCCGGTAGGACCTACTATACTTAACACTTTCTACTGCTAATCCTAATGGTCAATTTCAGCTTTTGACCGGGAAGAGTTTTACATAATATTTAAATGAAACAGATCTATGGAAGAGGGGGGGGGGGCTCTTCCCCACACCCCCTTTTCATTATCTTGAAATATATTAGGTACAATACAATAATGTGAAATATTAATGTATTTGTCATTCTTTCTCACCCTCCCACTTTCCTACATTGAAGTATTTAATACATTATAAAACACCATTCTATTGGGTACCTACTAAAATGAAAACTATTTTTACTAAAATAAATTAAACACTTAGGTGCTTACGTATTATATATTTATTATAATTGTATCCGTCATTTCAAAATTGAAAAATGTATAGAAAAACACACCACTATTATCGAGGTTACACATATTTTTATATTCTATACATAGATTATATATCCTAGATCAAGACAAATTGAAATGTTTGTGATTTATTGTAATTACTTATTTGTAATACTAAAATCAATAAACGAATATTATGTTATGTGTGTGCATCCAATATCTACTGATCAAAGACTTGAGAGTATTATTTTCGTTTTTAGACTATTTATAGAAATCGATACTTTTTTCAGTTTTTTTACTTAAAATAGAGAACATTAATAGATAGATATAAACTTTTTATTGTTGGATGACTGCATTTAATTAAGTTTATTTATTATTTCAGCCAAATTAAACTCATTATTTTGTACCTTAGCTTTAAGTTTAGGTGTTATTTTTAAATTTTTATTGAACATTTTGAAGAAAAACAGCACGTTTATGTGCAGTAGACGTGGATAAATATTACCAAAAAGTAACATAACCTAACCAAACTGTAACCGGTTTATTTATGGTCTTTTGGCGCCTCAAACGTCGGTAGAGGTATACTATTGAAAAGTGGGTATACGACAGTACTCGACTAAAAATCTACAAGCTACATTTCAAAATCATCCATTCAAACACTTTTAAGTTAAGTTTTTCTAATAACAATGTGTCTTAATAAACGTAGATGATAACACACTAAACGCAATATTATATAATATATATTATTATTTTATCTACAGATAAAATTGAATAATCATTATTGACCGATAAAAGCCGTATGCTCAAAATATTTTTACCTATTATAATATTACATAATATTATATTATAGTAAAAATATTTTAATTTTTCGCGTGTCACCTCGGGCATGCGCTCCATGGATTTGCGATTCCTGGTATAAGGTCTATGAGTAGGTACACGTCTTATAAGTACGAATGACCGAACTGTACTGTAATTTTGATTCATAGAAGTCCTTAACCTATATTCAATCCTTTGCATTGCTGAGAGGGACAGCCCACACAAGGCACAGCTTACAGCAAGGGTGGTTGAGAAGTTACAAGGGGAGGAGGAAGAGGGGTAGCGAAAATATTTTGACTATACTTACATTCATATCCCAGTTATTTTTCCAAATTACTTCGTACACTAGAAGTAGGTACTTTTAAATTCTATAAACTTTATAGGTACCACATTACCACAACGAGATAATATAAAAATATATGTATCAATAAAAAATGTTTAAAAAGGCGGACCACCTAAAACATTCCTCTCCATAGGTACAACCACCACTGGCTTATACATAGCACTATACTCTATGCCACTTGTAACTAATTTCGCAAAATAGGATACAATCCTAATGTAACAGTAGATAGCAAAATCCAGTTTTTGATTTGGGAATTTAACCTAATTATCTACAAATTACAATCATCATTTCATCTTATAAAAATCTTCTTATTTATTTTAAGTTATGACTATAATATTCAATGAATTATAATGAAAATCAAGTAGGTATAAATAAGGTATCAATTGAACTTGCCAATTTTTGGCATTCATCAGAAACCTAGTTTTTATTCTATTTTCAATAACCATATAGTAAAAACATCATTTTCTCAATATTTTTCAATCGTTTTGTGTGTTAATTATCACCCCTGTTTATCTAGTAGTTTTCTCTTACAAATCGATGTGACACCTCGATTCATATGAAATTTTTGTAAGAGAATGCAACTTAAGTATTTATTTTTACATTTAAGATAATGCTCTAAAAATAAATTGAATAAACCCAGATTTTGAAAATAGGAAAATAATTTCAAAAAATCTTCATTGGGTCATCACAATGAGTGCGCATATATATATTAGTTACCTCATCCATTTTAGAAACAACCTGTATATATACATAATATATAATACCTACAACATTTATACATGCTTGAGCTACAAGTTCAGTATAATGATATACAGTAAATACAGACAACTAAAATTTAAAAGTGTTATTAGGTTTTCTTTTGAGAAAGTTCAAAATCTCTAATTTGTAAAAATTATTTTAAGACAAATTTTGATGGTAAAAACGTTTGTTTGAATCATGCAGTTTATTTTTTTTTAAATATAAATGTTTTATATTTATGAATTTCCTGAAATGAGTAATTTTTTAAAATCATTTATTATCCATAAAATGTTCATATTTTTTGTCATACATTTAACTAATATATTTTTACCAGGTCTTACTGTGTCACACTCTGTATTCAAAACGTATCAAACTTACACACAAACAAAATCTTCCATATCTCTATATATAAAGGAAAGTGTACTTTAGCAATAATCAACGCAAAGCCAAACCTATTTGAGTTATGGAATTGAAATTTTGAGACTAGCTTGTGATAATATGTGAGCAATATATTGCCAGGTAGGCTATCCACCTGCGGTGGATCGCGGACCCCGCCGCTAGGTGCACACTATTTATGAATAATATGTTTAATTTTATTAATCATTTTGATAGTGCACATGCCGATGAGCAGCTATAATTGTAACTCTATCCATTGCCATCTAGGTAGGCAATGTGCCAATGTACTACAATTCGATTTGATACATACTTAAACCTGATCTGCCCGATCAACCAATGGTAACCAAATAATTAAAAAAATACCAATTTCTACTAAAAAATTAAGAAAGTTGGGCCGAAAATTAGTTATTAATTAAAATAAACGTGCAAATTGTAACCTAACCTAACCTATACAACATATGGTATGGCACGGCGGCCCGCAGGTGACTTAAGTTTGTTTAAAATTTTAAGAGTGATTGCTTAAAATAACCATGATGAACAAACACTTATCAAAAAACTCACTGTAAAATTTTTCATTAAATTTCTGATTGATCCCACGATAAAATGAGCATTAACAAATAATAAATTAACTGTTTTATATCATAGATAGAAGATAGATGGATCTGTTTTAAATGATAAGCGATAAGCGTGATGCCTCGACTAAGGGAAATAGGGATTTATTTTTATATAGATTGTAGAATTGTACTTCTCGGAACAATTCATATCCACACGCTGATCAAACACATAGTTAGACGGTCGCGGTTCGATCCTCGGCCACCGAGAGGCATTTTTCTCCGGAAAAGTCGCGGTGACCGGAGAACAAGTGCCACCATCCCCCAACCGGGCATGGCAGAAACCTACGGGTGCCCAATAGAAATTCTGCCAAACAAAAACACACACGTGTTCCCCCCCCTACAGTCCCACAACCTACAGCTAATGGCCTCAGTTGCTGAAGCTTAAATCAAAAAAAAAAAAGTTATGGATGCATGTCGCTATGGAAACCCTCAGGTCGTCGTGCTGTAAAATATGTATACATTATAATAGTAATATAATAATAATATATGTATACACAATGTATACGTAAGAAATTTATTCTTGCCGATTTCAACCCTTTAAAATCAAAATTTTTAAAAATCCTTTCTAAGTGACACTTGGCATTATAATATTAATCTATCATCAAAATTTCAATTCGATGACTCAAATAGGTATTCGGCTATGCGTGGATTATTGCTAAAGTACACTATCCTTTATATATATAGATATATAGACAGATAATATATAAATCAAATGTAAATTCAACTGTATAAAATACAATATAAATAAAGTAGGTACAAAATCTTACGTTCACACAATCTGACAGGAGAGACAAATGGGACTTTAGGATGTTGAATAATTTTTTTTGTGTCTGAGTGTTGGATAGTGTTTGATTATCTACTTTCTTTTCTTTTCTCGTGTGAAAGTGACTTAATTTGAGGTTGCCAAAACCTAGTTTCAAGTTTCAAGTAGGTACTCACTGGACACTTAAAACAATAATTTTATCAATCTTTTTTGTCAGTGTCTCATACTTTGTTTTGTATATTCTACATTTAAATTGTAATACTTCATTATAATAGTTTTAGTAGTTACTTATGTTCAGATTAACTACAACCAGTGCCATTAACAAATGTGGAATTGCTCTAAGACATAATCTATGAATTTTATTTATACTTAACTACAGGGGTTGAAGTGGCACAAAATAGCAAGGGGTACTAACTGTGATTCATACTTTATTTAGAGCGTTCCATTTAATGTTTTCCCCCAAAAAAACATTCATTTATTGAACCTTAAGTGCTAGCAAAAATATCTATATTATAAAGAGACAAAATGGCTATATTATATTAAATAAAATTAAATAGGGGGACGAGGTGACCGAGTGGTCTGACTCTTCCGCTGCGACGCAGCCGGTCGCGGTTCGATCCTCGGCCACCGGGCGGCATTTTTCTCCGGACAAGTTGCGGTGACCGGAGAGCAAGTGCTGCCATCCCCCACCCCCGGGGCATGGCAGAAACCTACGGGTGCCCCATTCGAAATTCTGCCAAAACAAACACACACGTGTTCCCCCTACCGTTCCAAAAAACCTACAAACCATCAATACAAAAAAACCTACAGTACCTACTAATAGCTAATGGCCACAGTTGCCGGGCTCAGGATCAATTAAAAAAAAAAAAAAAAAAAAAATTAAATAGGAATAAATATACTTCGTTAATCACACTTCAAGAATACTTTTCTTTCTTTTAAGACTTTATTTCACAACATAGTTTTAACACTTACATACTACAAATATAACAAAACAATATCAAAAGGAAAATGCATATCATATTTCCCTTAGGAATTCGGACCAGATAAATAATTTTTTTCACTGCTTGCTTAATATGAATGAATACAATCAAATAGTTATCTTAAAATAAATATCAACATGAAGATAAATTATACTTTTCTAGTGTCTTAAATACATTGTACAGAATGTTAAATATTATATAATAGTTAATAAGTTACAAGACTCATTAAACCAACAATTTTTATCAATATATACTTACAAATAGGCACTGAAAAAAAATTAAATGATAGATTTAATATACAATACATTAATACAATAAATAATTAATTATAATGAAGCAGGAGTTTTTAGATTAAGCTAAAATGCTTCAGAGTACTGTTGGAAGAACTAGTAAGGTAGGTCAAAAATTAAATGAGCATTCAAAGGTTGAGAGACTGAGTTCTCTGCATTTGACCCACTTTAACCGGTGCTTAGCTCGCACTTTCAGAAGGTTTAATAGTACGACTGAGACTGATGTTAAAAACTATTGACATATCCCGGTGTACTAAGATGTAAAAAGATTAATCACAGATTCTGCTTGTACAGCATATTTTCAGTATGTATAGTTTTGTTATAGTTTGCATAGGTTTGTTAGATAACTCATGAGAAACAGTTGATCGCAGATATCACATTTATTCAATCTTTATCCAGTATGTGTTTTTCTATGCTTTATTAAATCTGCTTTAAAGTGGAACCCTTCATCACAGACACCACATTTATATGGCTTTTCGCCAGTATGTCTCCTTTTATGCTTTTTAAAATTTGATGCATGAGAAATAGATTGATTACAAACATCACATTTGTACAGCTTTTCTACTGTATGTGTAATTTTATGGCTTTTTAGATGTCCAATCTGAGAAAAAGCATGATCACAGATACCACATTTGTACGGCTTTTCTCCGGTATGTATCCTTGTATGCTTTGTCAAGTCTGGTTTATTCGAAAACCTTTTACTGCATATATCACATTTGTAGGGTTTTTCTCCGGTATGTGTCATTTTATGGTTTTTTAAATGTGATTTCTGAAAATAAGCACGATCACAGATATCACATTTATGTGGCTTTTCTCCGGTATGTGTCCTTTTATGCTGTGTTAATTGTGACTTAGTAGAAGACCCTTTATTACAGATATCGCATTTGTATGGCTTTTCCCCGGTATGTGTCATTTTATGGATTTTTAAAGTTGATACGAGAGAAAAAGATTTATCACAAATATCACAGTTATAGGGTTTTTCTCCGGTATGTGTCCTTCTATGCTTTGTTAAATCTGGTTTATTAGAAAACCCTTTATCACATACATCACATTCGTACGGCTTTTCTCCGGTATGGGTCATTTTATGGATTATTAAATGTGAATTAGAAGAAAAACGTTTATCACAAAAATCACATTTATATAACTTTTCGCCAGTATGTGTCCTTGTATGGGTTGTTAAATTGCTTAGCAAAGAAAATTTTTTATCACAGATGTCGCATTTAATCTGTTTTTCTCCGGTATGTGTCCTTTTATGGATTTTTAAAGTTGATACTAGAGAAAAAGCTTTATCACAGATTTCACACTTATACGGCTTTTCCCCCGTATGTATCCTTCTATGCTTTATTAAATCTGCTTTAAAAGAAAACTCTCTATCACAAATATCACATTTAAATGGCTTTTCGCCCGTATGTGTCCTCTTATGCTTTGTTAAATTCCATGCTGTAGGAAAATGCTTGTTACAGGAATCACATTTATACGGCTTAATTCCGGTATGTGTCCTAGTATGCTTTGTCAAATCTGATTTAGTAGAAAACCCTTTATCACAGATATCACATTTATAAGGCTTCACTACACTATGTGTACTTGTATGAATCTTTAAGTACGTTTTCCTTGAAAATCCTTTATCACAGATATCGCATATAAACGGCTTTTCTCCAGTATGTTTCATAATATGATTTGTTAAATGTGCTTTAAAGGAAAACCATTCATCACAAAAATCACACTTATATAACTTTTCACCGGTATGTATTCTTGTATGCTGAGTTAATACTGATTTAGTAGAATACCCCTTATTACAGAAATAACATTTGTATGGCTTTTCCCCAGTATGTGTTATTTTATGGGTTTTTAAAGTTGATGAAAGGGAAAATGATTTATTACATATACCACATTTGTACGGCTTTATTCCGGTATGTGTCCTAGTATGCTTTGTCAAATCTGATTTAGTAGAAAACCCTTTATCACAGATATCACATTTATAAGGCTTCACTACATTATGTGTACTTGTATGAATCTTTAAGTACGGTTTCCTTGAAAATCCTTTATCACAGATATCGCATTTAAAGGGTTTTTCTCCAGTATGTGTTCTTGTATGGTTTTTTAAGAGTGATGGTATAGAAAATTTTTTATCACAGATATCACATTTATGAGGCTTTGCTCCGTTATCAATTGTTGTATATTTTATTAAATTGGATACTTTAGCATTTTTATCACAGATGTCAGTATAAGGATTTTTATTTGAGTAAGATGTCTTGTCCGAGTTCATACGCATAATGAATTCAGAAGAATTGTTTTCATTAGCAACTGTTCCATTAAATTCATAACCGTCTATAACATCTCTTTCAATTTTTATTTCAGTATCCATTGAGTTTATTTTTTCTTCATTATCAGTTCTGAAAATAATATTAGGTATTTAAAAAATGACAATCTATAAATTACACAACAATAACTGTAAAAATAATACAACTGATAAATGTAATTGTAGATATTTATCTAGAGTTAGTTCAGCAAAATATTTAGGTTGAATATTAGATTAACATCTAAAATGGAAATCATATATTTAAATGATAATAATGCATTTAAGAAAATGTTTTTTTATATTTAAAGAGCTACAGAACATGACACACAATCACAATTCAAATCTAAAAATGGTATATTTCGCAATAGTTCAATCTGTACTAATGTATGGTCCAGTTGTATGGGGATTTAGCTTATAAGAATGTATTAGAACCATTAAAGATAATACAAAGAGTGCTAATAAGAGTATTAATGGACAATTATTATACTGCTCAAAATTATAATACATATGATTTATTTATTGAAATTAAAATATTAACATTAATACAATTGTGTGACAAATTATCAATCATTGAAGTGTTCAAGAATAAAACTGGTTATGAACATCATAATACATAAGACACAAGAGGAGAGGACTGTGATTATTTGACTATTGTCTCATTATTATAAATTGCATGTCGGCTTAGATATTGTAGTGGTCTTTTACAATAAGTTAATATGTTTTATAATTATTTTAGTCATTAAATTATGCCTGTATTTATTGATACATGTTGAAATGTTAATAATTATGTAATAGACTCTCTACTCCCGCCACAAGCTTTGATTACATGGCGTAGATATCAATGTTATATGAAAATATGTTAATGTAAATATTGCTTATATTAATTAAAAGATTAAATAAATAAATACGATATTAAATTTAAAAAAATCATCATAACTACAATATTACATGTTATGTAGATTCTAATAATATATTTGAGAATTAATGTATATCAGTTCTGAACCAATTAACATACAAGGTGTAACAGAAACACTTAACGAATTAAATAACTTTTGTTGTAATCCATATTAAAACATTAAACGAATGTGGAAAAAACCGCTTATAAACATAATTCATAATCTTTGCATTTTATTTACACTTAACCAGGACTTTCAGAACTGAACAACCAGGATTGATATCAACTCGTGACATTTCCTAGTGTACTGGGACGTATGTCAACCCTAATCTAGGTGGTACTTTTGAGAGGTCAAAATGAATAGTTTCCATGGTTTTCAAGTGTTATAGGGAAAAAAGGTGAGCAAGTTGGTACAGCTTTTTTGTACCAATAATAGGTGTTGTGTACTCGTGTGGGACACTGTAATGGAAGTGTTATAAAATTGAATTTGATGATATAAAATCATAATATACAAAACACCATTCTGAGCAAAGACAGCGCCTGTCAGCATATATTCAAAAGTAACTATACTAATTTATGATATTATTTAAGTTATTTATTTTATTATAATACATAAGTAATAATTTATTATTAATGAAGTAGGGGTTGTATTGATTTTTTTTTTGAAAACATTGCACTAGACAACACAGTATTTAATTTAAAATACTGCAACCATTATAGACCACAACAGCAGCGCTGATTTATTTATAATAATTATCAATCATTTTAAAGTAAACAAAAATTTACCTAAGTAGGTAATTATAAGTACTAAGGTGATAATATACCTGACCCATGATATAACTATTGTTTTGATCAACCCTAACCTAACTCAACCTTTAAATAATTATAATGTATTAACACTTGCACTACATGTATAACATCACATTTTTTATTTGTTTTTGAATTAAAAGAAAATAAGAAAATCATCCCATAAAAATTGAATAAATACCCAATTGATATTGACATTTTTTTTTCGACGTAGGCAAGCATATAAGGAATCTTGTATTAAATTTTCAAATCTTAGATATAAAAGTAATGAATTTCTAACTCAAAAGAATTTGCAAAATTCCCGGATTTGACGATTTTTATCAACATTGTAACTTAAAATGATTATAAAAAATAATCCTCATTTCACTCAAATTTTTTTTTAAATTAATTTAAAAACAACTAGTAACGGGACGCTTTTGAAAGCTACTGGTAATTTTAAATTTTGACTTCTCGAATGCAATAACTAGATCCACATTACTACCAGAAAATACTGAAGTCAAAAATCAAAATATTATTTCGACTATACATTATAATAAAAAAACACATTGTAAAATCAATACATTGCTCCTCTCAGAATCTAAAAGGACATCAGGAAATATTAGGTTCTATGAATATTTTATAATTTATATACTAATATAATAACCAATAAGCTACTAATAGATAAATACACTTTGCACCAACATATAAACAACAAGGTATGATCATAACTTTTTGACGGTTAGATTCTTCAGTATGCACATGACATAGAGTAGTGTATAGCAAGGCTTGAAACTGAAATTTAAAAAATACTGGTATTTTAACCAGAACCTTTTAAAAATATTGGAAACAGAACCATAAAAAACCCTTTTTTTTCATAGAGCCCTAAACCAGAACTAAAACTGATATTTGTTAAGATAATTTTCTAGGGTATTTAGGTATTAAGGTATTTCGGTTTCTTTTGGTTTCCAATTTTATCCCACTACTTTATATATTTAGGTAATAAATATTAACGACTTATGTTTTCTATCGACTGGATTCTATTGAGCAATAACCATTCATATCAATATCCTTTAAAATGGAAAATCATGTACCTATGCTTATTGATGGACAGTTAATTCACAAGAACCAAGAATTTAGAATAATATTTCGAGGCTGTCACATAAATTATTTAATTCTTAGGTGTTTAATAAGCAAACAAGTGAAATATAGAACTACAAAGTTGGTAACTTGGTCACATGCACAACATACAAAAATCTAAGCTATTATATAAATAAAATTAAACCATTGAGAATTTGATTTATCATTTTATGCACTGGTACAGATTCTTACAATACTAGTCAATCCTATTTTAATATTTGTTTTGGATGTTTTTAAAACAAAATAGTGAACTTACTTACTAACCTACTAATCTTTTAACCCATTAACACAGCTATAATTTGATCTTATAATTTTAGACAAAATGTATGAAACAAATGAGTTTTTTTTAGGGATGGGCCGATACCACTTATTACCGATATCCGATATTCCGATATAAAACCGATACCCGATAACCTATGGAAATGTTAAAAAAACATTTTTGACAAAAAAAACATGAGCCGATACCACCATAAAACCGATATATAATAAAACCGATACCCGATAACACAAATAATATTACCTAGAAAAGTGAAAACATTGATTATTATAAAATAATCTATAGTATTTGATTATTGATAACCTAACCTGTGCATTTGTGAATTATGATACTATCAATACTATGCTCGATAGGTTTTTTTTTTTTTGGTATCGGTTGAAATATCGGTTTTTTTTTAAAACCGATAAAACCGATATCTAGTATTGGTTCTAGTATCGGCCCATCCCTAGTTTTTTTACTTAAAAACAAAAATATTCAATTAAATATCAGTATTTACCGGTACTAGAACCGAAACCTTAATTCTGTATTTTAAGAGATTACATTAACAAAGCCCTAGTGCATGGTAATAATAATTTAATGACAATATGATAATGTGGGTAAGCAAGTAACCTAACCTAACAGGATCTAGGATCATACCATGTTACTTATTTCATGCATCGCACTAAACATCATAGCTTTATGATAATGATAATTGATACAATAATAATTATAATGGTCATAATATCATCACCAATGTTTTTAACAATATAAACTAAATATTAATAGGTAAGTCTATGATATTATTAACTAGACAACGAATGCGATTCAATATAACTAATAAATATTATAAATTATGAATATTGAATGATAAACAATGAAGAATATGAAATAATACAAATATTATTTATTAGCAATGTAATATCATAAACAATACTAAGTATTATTGGCTGACGAGCGTGTTGCATCATGTATAATACATTGAAATAATATAATTTACATTAGATCAATCCATATCATTAAAATTTAACATATCCATTACAGTGACCCACATAACACATCATGTACAGCAGTGTTTCTCAACCTTTTTTGGTTCACGGTACACTATTATACATCACAAGTTTTCACGGTACACTCAGGCACTTGACAACCACAACATCTTTGGCAACTTTGCCGAAGACATTAGTTATCGCCACACATCTAAATGTGTATAACATTTCTCCCGGCACATCTAGTAGATCTCGCGGTACAGTAGTGTGCCGTGGCACATCGGTTGAGAACCACTGATGTACAGCATAGCATAGTCCATTTGCCAAACTTTTTTATTAAATATTTTTAATAAACTATATTTTTACAGGTTAAAGCAAATGTTTAAAAAAAAATTAGTCAAAATATCAAATATAATAATACAATATGATATAAATACAATTCTTACTCTATTTGTAATGATTGGTGATCATTGTTGTGGTCTATTTCATCAGTAATTTCCACTTTAATATTTGCATTAAATACTTGGTCATCAATAATTTCTAATTTAATATTTTCATTATATATTTGATCATCACATCTAATAAGTGGTATTGACAACACTCTAGAACTATATAATATATCATGGTACCTAGAAGAAATTGCAAAAAAATGGATTGTTTATTAGTTGGTAGGTAACTAATGCATAAATTAGATACAATGCACACATTTCATAGTACATACTTTATTTAAACACTTACACTTAGTTTTATCAAATAAGATTATTTTACAGTTCAAATAGATTAAAATTGCATTTTGTAATCTCACACTAATTATAATGTATTTGCTCACTTGGAATTTATCGTACAATCATCAATAGTTTTATTACGTTCCATATTGATTTATGTCCTCTTTATTGTTTGTTTTTCAATCAGTATTGTGAACATGAATCATGACAATTAGATCCCTTTTATAAAAAACCTGTGGGTTGAAGTGGAGGTGCCAGGTGTATTTTTTGAGTGCCTTAAATAATATGAAAACACTGGTATGTATTTAAAATTTAATATTGAGTCAGTTTGTTATTTTTTTAAATGTTCCTTCTATTGGCCAACTACCAAGAACAAATTGATAACAGTAGTAAATTATATTATAAAGAATACATTATAATAATAATTAAATATAATTCCTGGTAACTTGACTTACCTAATATATTATTTTCACTGCCATCCTATTCCTAAGCATGTCTCACACCAATCAATAGTAAACATTTTCCATTTCTGTACCTAGAACATTTTTTTTTTATTCTATTTTAAATTTAGAGGTAACACATGAAAATTAAAAATTTTTTTTTTATGTCTATTATTGTTGTACCTACACTGGCAAGATATTTGTAGGTCTACACCAGTGTAAAATTATTCCGCACCATGGGAGTCATTGGAACAGAGTGTGCAACGGCATCACTAACTTAAAAAATGTTAACAATTTGCCCGCCATTAATACTCCAATTCACCGTCATAGTTAACTTGAATATTATGATTTCATACTTAGGTAATATAAATTAATTATATTTTTTTTTCATGTTTTTGTATATTTTTGGTTTATCAGGTTTCTTGATTATACCTTATAGGTATGCCTTTTTTTCAAATAATAGTGATGGCTTTAGATGGTCGCTTTAATTGCTTACAAGCTTTTAATTCTTTGAATTGCTAGCTATTTAAAAGTTGCACTACTCGTTATGAGTTTCAATTAGAATTATAAAAGGGAAGGGAAGAATATTTACACAAAAAAATTCATCTTTAAAAAAATTAAAACTCTTAGTCTTTTAGAGTTTTTGAAAACATTTTAACTTCTGTATTATAATATTATATATTTTCTGAAAAATGTTCTAATAACCAAAATTTGATTAATTTGGCCGATTAGAAGTTAAGCGATCAAGTACAAGTTCCAATGTTTATTACTAGAAAATATGATGCAAAATAGAAAAATTATTTTTAACTTGAGGTTTACCGTTAATAAAAACAACAAAAAAAAAACAGAAATTAACTAAAATGTCTAGGTTTTGTCAGTGGCACCTATCTATATCTAGGCTAAGATTTATATAATGTCAGCAGAAATATGCATAAAAGCAAAAAAACTGGAAAGGATTTTTTTTTAAATATTGTAACATAAGATACCCTTCCATAGTACTCTCCTAGATTTTATGCCAAACCATAAAAATAAGCAAATGCTTTAAGTCCTGAACTCTGGTGATTAATTATGTTAGTCTGGGTAGAACTAGTAGATAATTAGACTGATTATAATAGCTATTTGATAATGGTAGGTTTTACGGCATTGCTTAACTAAGTTTCTTCGATTTTTTCAAAACAATTTGGTCTTGACTCAATGTGAAGAAAAGAAAAACACTGCGAGTGAGTAACAACAGGTAAAATGTTTTTGAATTATAAGTTTGTTCACCAGTATCCGGATTCAAAAATTTAATGGAGTGATTAACAATCAAATGATTAAAACCTCATTCTCCCAAACAATTACAAGCAACTTGCTCCTTATGCCTGACGGCAACGATCCTATAACAGTATACCTTTATTTGTTTAAAAAAAAAAAAAAACGAAAAAAGCTCAATAGGCAATACCCCAAAACCGACCAACAACTATTAACTATAACTTGGGCATATGATTTGCAACAATTTTTTTGGGTACCATCGTTTTTAAAAGTACATTTTAATAGATTTTGAAAAAAAGTTTGCAAAAATTGCATGGTGGCTATAATGCAACTATACTTTCATTCTCTTCATATCTACAAAGAAAACATTAAGATGGGTATTCAATTTTTATCTACCTACTACACATAAACGGTGGATATGAGATCATTATTACAACTTACAAACATAGTGTGTGTACGGGCTAGTCAGGGTAGACACTTGACTACTCTGTGAACTTTCCATCTCGATATTCAATATTATTATCATAATATCTAACCAATAATCTTATTATGATCGAAAAAAAATTAAACAAATATTTCGTTTTCATAACTTAGGGCAGTGGCGTATGCTATGGGAGGGGGGGGAGCGATTGCCCCAGGCAGCGAATTTCACACGTGTTAAAAGTTTTAATATGGATGAAAACCTAAACACTTCACTGATTTAGGTGCGAAAAAAGAAATATTATTTACACGTGTGTGAGCTATAGTATATTGTGTTATGTATATGACTACCCTGCAAGTAATGTCTGCACACGCTTATGATATAACTTTTTTTTATTGGGTCTTATTAGATACTTACCAACTATTTACTGCTCACTATTTATTTGTTCATTCGATGATTTTTACTAAAAAGTAAAAAAAATGACAAAACTAAGTACTAAGTAAAAACAACTTTATTCTTTAAAAAATAAGATATTTAGGTAGTGGTAGTAGATAAAAATAAATAGAATCAGACCATGAACTAAGATAGCTCAAGCTCATATTTATTATTTTTAATTTTGTATTCCACGCAATATACTGGCTAAAGACAGCGTCTCTTATCTGTACTTTTATTATCAGTATCATACTATCACAGAATATCACGACGGTTGTCTTATCACATATCACTCCTAAAATAGTAAAATACCATTTTCTTTTTATTTACTCTTAATTTAAGTGAAAAATTATAAACAAAAACTTATGTACAAAGTCATTTAAAATTTGGCTCTCTTCAAGGTAAGGATATAAAAATGTATAGTCATTAGTCAAGTTCATAAAAGAGAAGTAGGAACTGGCTTGTACAACACATTATTTGATTCAATTCTACCCTTCTTTAAAAAAAAACTATTGCTGGGCAACACAATATAGTATATTGTAAACCTCACCTTGGACACCAAAATAAAATAAAATTTCTTGAGGAAATATTAGATAAATGTTAATACAATATACCAATTTAAATATTTATATTTATTGGTTCATTTAAATAGCTATAGTTACTATATGCAGGGAATTGATACCTTTAAAAAGTTATGTTTTAAAAAAAATCCAAGTGTTAAATAAATAAGCTTCTTATAACTTATAAATAATATTATACACACAGGAATATAAAAATATATATAAAAAAATATAAATTAAAATTAAATTAAAAATATAAATACACATTTATAAAATAAATACAATGTCATTCGATAATAATATAACTAATTACTTTTTGTTCTCTAGTTGTCCATAAGAATGTTCAAAATGTGAGTCCATATTAATATATGAGGTGTCTTTGTTGCTTTTTAGATCACTTTTTATTTGGTTTATAACTGTTATTGTTGGCTTGTTTAGTCTTGGTTCCTCTGGTGCTTTTGTCCTAGGTTTTTTTGTGGAATAAAACCGTAGCAGTTCATCTACATTTTTACTGGCTGGTTCTTGATTATCTACATCTTTTATAGATGTTATTTATCTTTTCTTGTTGATATAGAACTTTTAAACTTGAATCTACTATAAAGTTTATGTTTTGAAGTTGTTGATCATCGAGTGTGCCTGCTTGTGACACAAACATTTACAATTCCTGAATTTTATCAGCAATGCATTCAGTGGATGGTACAATAAGCTGTTGTGCAGCTGACATTTTCACACACACTTCATCATTTTTCATAGGATTGCATACTACACAAATATTTAAATCTTTATAATTTAACCTAATCATTATCATTAAACCTAACTTAATTTAACCTAATCATTTAATCTAACCTAACCATTGACGACACCTAGAGCTTTTATTTACTTAAGTATGACACATTTAAACACAAATAAAATTGTGAATTCTTGAATATGTGGGGTGTTAAATGTAATAATATAGTTATTAGTTTTACATGTATGTAAAGCATTAACATAGGTACTAATTAGAATAAATATATATTTTTTTATTACAAATGTATTATTATTAACTATTGATTATTCTTTAATGAATTATTAATTAGATCTGAAAATTATGGAGACAGATTTGATAAAGGTGTTTGTGAAATAATTAAAGCAATTGTATGAAAAATCTGATGGTATATTGGAAATTTCAAGCAATCCATATGTATAGTAATTATTACTCCACTTATGATGAGAGCTCACAAAATGCTTTTTACCAAAGACATTGTTTTTTTGACTCTACAAGTTTGTATGATCAAAGTGATACTTGACTTTTTTTGGTGTTTCAAAGGTTGACGGTATTCCTCTAGGGACTGTCATTCATAAATATTCAACAAAATAAAATTATATCCAAGTGTTTAAATTATTTGAAAAAAAGTTTAGGGGAAAATGGTTTTTGTGGCCAAACTCAACCTTCAGTATTCATGACAGACGATGGTACAGCACTACAGCAGAATGGCCAGAATGTCTAGCACTACAAGAATTCTTTCCAGAGTCTATGCTATTGCTTTGTGCTTTTCATGTTTGCTAGTCCATTTGGAGATAGCTTTGCAATACCAAAAATGACGTGGCAAAAATTGTAAGACAATTAATCGTTAATGTTAAAATTTAGAAATATTCTATTTGAATTTAATGAAGATGAGGCTAACAAAAACTTAAATAATTTATGTGCCAATGAAAATGAAGTTTTCAAAACATATACAAAAACATCATAAGATGATTAAAGAATGGGCAATATGTCATAGGAAGGATTTACTTATTCATGGTCAAGACACAAATAAATAATAATATAGTTATAGTAGAGTCTTCAATAAGAAATAAGAATATTCAAAGATATTGTTTTAACTTTTAGATCGCTGTAAAGCATTTAATTCTAGTAAGCAGTAACCAATAACCATGCAATGGGATAACATATTAACATGTCAATTTGACAGTTGTGGCACGCGCATGCGTATTGGGTGATGTGCATACCCGTTTGGCCTCATTCAGTTACGGTTCGTAAATACGCGAGCGACGTAATCAAACAATGACAATGACGATACTCGACAATAACAAACGGCTAAGTGAACACAGTAGCACAGAATAAATGAAATTCATTTAAAAAATTTAAAACAAATTTTATTTATTCTGTGACGGTTGTGACTAGTGATAGTGTGTGACCAAGTCGTCAATTCGTATTTCGTCATAGTCTTGTTGATAACGATGATAGCCTTGTCACTTGTTTAATTCACTCACACAGTCGTGAATTATAGTCGCACTACATATTATCAGCCTGCGCCCTGCTTACAACAAACTGATTAGTGATTACTGCTTAGTGCTTAGTCCGTGATTCGTTAGAGTTAGACCCATTACGATTAAAAAATTAAGATTTATAATATTTTTTTGGTATTTACTATTCAGGTAAATCTTTAATTTTATTATGGTATCTATTTTGTATAATAATTTATAATAATTAGTAAATAAGACAGATATATTGTTAACTGTTGTTGGCAGGTTATTTATTCTCGAATCGTGATACTGATCGACTTCTACTAAAAGTTTAAAAAAAACCTCTTGGTAGAATAATCAAATCCATGATGTTAGACGAGCTGGCCATCGATTATTCTGAGTACTTAAAAGTTGACAATGAAAATGAGGTAACTTCACAGTGTTAAATCACAATTAATATATTCATCGCAATGATAATGATTACTTTCAAGTACGTTATTACTTTATTAGTCAGAATGACACTGTTCATATTACACATTTACACCCAACAAAAATGCTATAACTATGGATACACATGCGAAAAACGTAACGTCGGCTCACCTGTTTGGCGGCTCTTGCATTACTAACTACTTATGAGAGAGTCTACCATTTTTCCCCCACTGACTGTACTCAGACTGACAAGTAGTGAGTAATGCGAGAGCTGACGCGACGTCTGTTGCATGTGTATCCTTAGTTATATAATTTTTCAAATGTGTAATATGAACAGTGTCATTCTGACTAATAAAGTATTTGAAAGTAATCACTGTTCTTGTGTTGAGTGTAATATTAATTCTGACATAGTAAAATATTTGACAAGTGGTACACTTCGGTATACCTACTTAGTACTTACTTATATTAAGTAATACATTTTATTATTCTCTTGCTTTTCTTTGTTTTCTCAGGTTGGTGCGTTAAAAGATGTAGTCGAAGATATGCTCACCAGATTAGAAGAGTTTCAGACATTTATGGAAATGGTAGATAATCATATATTCTTAATAGTGTCCTGTGAACACAATTTTAATTTACTTCCATTACTTAAAGGTACGTGCACTACGAATGGAAAGTACTGTAATGCATTATGATTCAATTAAAGAAATGAAATCTAAGGTTACTGAACTCACAGACACTGTAAATAAATTAGAGAAGCTGGTTAATAAAGTTGGTGAAGACGTAGAACTGGTTGACCAACAACTAACTGAAGCTGAGGCTTGTATGCCTATTAATAAAGATGGTCCATTAAATACAATTCTAAAACCTTTTTTTGTAAGTTAATCACAATGTAATGAATACATTTTGCAAACTTAATATTGTATTTTAATTTACTTGTAATAATTTTGATTAGAAAAAACAAGAAGACCATTCTTCTAGACAACTACCTGCTTATGAACCACCAGTGATTTTTAAGTCTGATGATTACTTTTTTGCAACAGAAGCAGAAGATGCGCTTAAAATAATTGATAATGATACAACCACTAACAATTAATATAAAAAAATTTTTTTTTCATTTCAAAAATTATATATGGGATTAGGCTATCCAGTAATATAAACAATTTGTATTTGTATTTTAAGTTGTTGATTGTTTTTTTAAATAAATACTTTTTATTTTTAAAAGAATTGTATTCACTTGTAAAAATTACTTGTTAATAGATTATTCATATGAATATTGATTTGATAACTATTATTTATTGTTCATGGGTACTAAAAAGTTACAAGTATTTAATGAATGTATTTAAAAGAACTGCGTATCAACAAATACTAATTCCAATTTAAATAATTTGAAAAATGTGGAGTACATTTTATTTATTTATTTTAGTTGTGTTATATAAATTACATTATATAAAAATCTGTACTGTTTTAGATAGTACTAATAACAAAATTAAATTATTATTATGGTTCAATTGTCAGTAATTTTTTATGTTTCACTATCCAAGTATGTTCCAACTTTTAACTTTTAAGTACCGGCCTAACAAGTAATAGTGACCCATCATACTCTGCAAAATACTATTTCAAGTTCGTAGTTTAATAATTATGATAGAACGTTTAATTAATAAAAATTAAGTCATTAGTTAATTTTATTACTTAGTTAATACCTAGAAAACACATTGATTTTATCCCCTCCCCTTTTTTATTGTAAATGTAAATTTATTGTGAACAATACATCTGTACAAGTTAATATTGTACATATTAAAAAATTAAATAAAGTAAGCAACCCCAATAATTAAATAAAACAAATTGCATTATTAAGGAACATGATCAATTCTCTTAGAAAAATGCTTTCAGTTTATCATCAGGCTTATAAGTTATAATTTATAATCGATATTCAATAACAAGATTAACTAAAAAAATAATTTGGCAATTTCAAAACAAATTATTTTTAGGACAATTTCCCTCAACCACAACATATTGGTTATTGTTAATTTATAATTGGTAAATTGTATTATATTTTTGAAGTCATAGCATTAATATTATGTGTCTGTTTTTTCAGGGGTTATCTGCCGGTCTACATAGAATCTGATTTTGGCTTTATTTCTGTTTTTAAAAGACAATTTAGATTGTCCTGTCTAATTGGTAAAAGTTGAATTTTTGTTTTGTTTTTCTTGTTTTTTTGTGTTGGATCAGACATAATAAACGTACAATATGGCACACCAGTCGCTTATAGGTGATATTATTCATACAAGAAAATCAACTATTTATGGTACACCTCCAGTCAAATGTTATTATTTGATTAAGGGTGATGTCGACGTGTCTTCGTAATTGTCTGGTATAGTTTAACATTTTGAAATGAGTGTAACTGATGTCTGATAGACGATAGTAGGTAGGTAGGTGCTTAATGATTTGTTGTGATGTAGGTATAGCCTCGAGACTTTGGGCATCAAGCGTACCGTGTACCTACGCTCACCAGGATACGTCAGATTAATGATATAGGTACAAGATATTATATTATAGTCTTACAGGTGGATTGCTTAAAATTGTAATGACTAATGAGTAATGACTTCTTGTAAGCGTTACATAGAATATATTATTATATCAGTTGACTTTCTACTTATATATTTTATTCTATTAAGATCATCATGTCTATGATTTAGTCGACAATCAAACTATAATAATATCCTATTTGAAGCACATTATCATTGCGCGTTCTCGGTATGATATATTTATCTACCTACTAAAGTTCTGAGCAGTCTAACTTTAGCAGTGGTGAGGGAGTATAACCAAGTGGGATGTGGGGGGGGGGTTGTTGTCTACAGTTTAGATAAGTATGACTAGTATAAGAGCCATGTTGCCGAGAGGTAAACGACTTCTACCTAGGTAAGTATTATGTTTAAAGAGTAAAGCCGGATTCACAGCTACCTACGTCGTGTGTGGTGTACTGCAAGGGTGTAGGAATTACATGGTTATAACTGGTAACCAATATGGTTTAAAAGTTGAACTGTAGACAATTCTTGGTATATTCGGTTACAGCTTGGTATTATTACATGATACCAAAAAATGTATGTCCAATCACAATGCGATCTGAACAACCCGGCGTAGCTGTGAATGCGCCTTGAGTATTCACTAGGTATTCAGTAATAGGCAACTAATGATTAATGAACGGTGATAATCGATTACAAAAAACTATCAAATCAGTAGATTTATTATGATGCCATGTTGTCTGCAGTAGACTGTATATTATAAGTTATAACTAACAAACAGCTTGTATACCCGTATACTAACGAGTGATGACGATGAACCTCGAAACAATATACCTATATGATAGATTTAAGTAGGTACTTCCGTCTTCCGTGTACATTTCTTACCGGTCACATTGCAGATGAAGAATATTGCATACTTATGCCTAGGTATTAATAGGTACGTATAATGTATAAACACTAAAATAATACGTAATTTTATTAAGTAGGTATAGACGTACAATAAATATAATTCATATAGGTTTATTGACAATAAATTGTAACTAGGTACCTACCTACCTATTATAATTTATAGGTATCTTTAACTTAAGTCTTTACTTAGTATGAGTTAAAGCTATGTACGTTTATTTGTCTTGCCAAATAACTAACCCATACTGTAAATACTAAATTGTAATTAACTTAAATTTTAATTGCCCATAAATACTTAAGACGACGTCGGCACATTTTTTTTTCTCTCTGACCCACACGCAACATAGCAAATTTTACGTTCACAATAATAATTACAATCATTATAATTTTTAAAATTAGAGAGAAATCACCTCTTATAAAATCTAAAGATAAGATTATTTTCTAGAGCATATCATAGGATTTTTAATATATTTTATTTTTAAAGTGAGTTATGAGTATTTTAAGATAGGTACTCAATAAAATAACTTACCTATTTTTAAGATTACTTATTTTAATATACTCGTAACTCGCTTTAAAATAAAAAATATAACAAAAAGCCTATGAGACGTCCTAGATAATAATCGTACCTTTACATTTTATAAGAGATCATTTCACTCCAATTTTAGAAATTATTTGGGATATAATCATTTTTGGGAACGTAAAATGTTATGTTGCGCTTGGATCAGAGTGAGAAAAAAAATGCTCTAACATTCTCTTAATGTTATTCAATTTATAGGGTAGGTACTATTTACTTACCACAGGCGTAATGGATGATATTGTATACAGTGATGAACTTAGGTAATTTGAGCCCTAGTGAAGAAAATCAAATAAACTGACTGAATAGAATATTTTTTACTACAATTTGAAATAAAAGTCTTAGCCGTTCAATAGAAAACATGAAAATTATGTTAAGAATTAAAAAAATGATGAGATTTTGAATTAAATTGTAGGTAAATACTATCCAAATTATACTTTTTATAGCACATAGCAATTGAAACATTGAATACCTACTTAGGTTTATGATTATTTGTTCGTAATCATCTATATTGCAATTTTGTATAGTAAACTTAAATGTGGTATCTACCTATTTTAGAAACTGTTGAATGGAAAATTAATTACAAATTAATAAGAACACCTTTATTGGATGCTCTTAGAAATCAGCATTTATGCTTAAAGTATAGGTATATCGAATATTCGTATGTAAGTATAGGACTATATTTTACCATGGTTTAATGATCAAAGGCTTTCACAATTTCTTCGTTAATATTTCATGACTTTTGAATATTCGGAAATGGGTGAAAATACAGGTCACAATCTATTACCATAATTGCCTATACCTACTATAATAATAATAATATAATCTATAAACAGGCTAAACTATAATCTATTACCTAATTCATAATCTACAAACTACATAATTAACACTACACCACTATTTCGTAAATATGAACAGTGAAATAATTATTATAACACATATAACCTGCATAGTTGTAAATCATATAGGACAACATAAGTATAGACTATAAGTAGTTATCTAAAGGCATCTTACCTACTTACATAGGCATAGTTATGGGGCGAACCGGGACCTGAGTACCTGACGTTTTTTAGGGGCATGCGATGAAATTTGCATATATTTTTTGTTATAATGCATAAATATTACTGTAATAGAATGTTAGAGTAGATCATGGAAATTTTATTTTTCATTATAGTGAAGTAATAAAATTAAAAATATGAAATGTATGTGTTCCTCCCTGTGTATTTTACTGAGTGTTCACGGTGGTTAGAAATATTTAGATTTTTGATGGGCACTATGTCGAGCTATATTACGAATCGATGAGTCATTATTTATTATTATTATTAAATGTATTAATAATATCAATGACACAATTATTAACTTACAATTAGTATGTTGGTGCGATTAAAACCAAAATTAGGGACACTGTCCAAGTATTAGGACACTAATTTTATTGTTCAAGGCTCGACCAGAAATTGAAGTCTGCAAACTCTTACAGGTATAATAATTAGGTATAAACATTTTAATTGTATTTACATGATTGGTATATAGGGCCTTAATAGGCGTATACTATGAAACACAAATGTGATTGATTGGTCAGGTTAGGTTAGGTTAAAATACTTCTAACAACGTAACCATGTTGTTGAACATAGCTGAACATTTTTAGTACACGTGTATTATAGAGGAAACCAGCTTTTAGATGCCTGTAAGCATTGGTCGAAGTGACTCAAAATAGTGAAGGGATGCCTCTAAAATTTATATAGTTCTCATATTATATCTCTTAAACAGTCATAAAAAATAATCGTAGGGATGGAAAATATAGATTAAAAAAAGCGGAGGGATGCCATCCCACCATACCCCCCCTCCCCACTTCGACCACTGCCTATAAGTACAATATTGTACATATATGCATTGAGAAAGCCTAAGTTCAAATCCTACACAGTCTTTTATTTGAGCCGAATTTATATAATATTACGCAATCACATGCCCACAGCGCTATAATATAGTAGGAAGTGCCTACACGATATTATGGTCAGAGTCTGACATAGATAATTAGAATTACGCAGGCACTGGATCGGTGAATTTCTAATCCAACTCTTCGTTTGTTTAATAACGTACAAGTAAATAAGTATAAGGCCCGTTTCACATGGACGCGTATCATATTATGCGACGGATCGTACGCGCGCGTTTTTAGCTTATATTGATAAAGTTAATATGCGCCATACCCTTGAGGAAAACGCTTCACCGTGGTTGGAGTGGCACGTATCAATTTAACCAATGTAAATGAAAACGCGCGTATGAATCGTCACGTATGATAGGCGTTCATTTGGTAGTTAGGTACTATATACTTACCTGTAATTTAATCCAGTTTTAAATATAGCTTGATAAATTGACTCAAAACGTATGATTAGATTAAACA